TGTGGGTTTGCACTTGTGCTGATTCTCTGTATCACCAACACAGAGAGAACAGAGCGTGGAGCTCACATCTGCTCCAGGGGCACAACTTTGACTGAAGAAGGACTCTGAGAATGACACGAAATAAGGAACAATGATATTAGATTTCTCTGAGGTGTGGAAGTCACACTGATGTTTCTGCACAGTTGACTTTGTTAAAGGCTTTTGTCTTGTAGTCTATCTAGGAAACTAGGTCCTTCACAGTAACTCCAATGAATCTGTTTCAGAGATGATTAGATTAGAGAAAAAAGGGGAACTCAACTGTTAATGGCTAGTGCTAAGCTAACTGGGGTTACTTACTGAAGTCACAGCTCTGAGTATTTTCGTGAATGCGACCCATGGGAATGTTCCAGCCAGCAGTTCTACCAATGCCTGTGTGGCAGGACTTCTTGTTCTGCAGATTGTCCCAGGTGATACCTGAGTCTTTCTTTATCACAGCCACAGCAAAGTAATGGGATCCAGAATCTGAAAGGATGAAAAAAATGGGTTTGAAGGTTACAAAATGATAATTGATATATACAATAATTATTACATGCAAATGCAGTATCTTCAAAGCCAAATTACCCCGAGCGCTGCTGCACTTTTCTGTGGAAAAACACACACACAAATATTACTTACATTTAAAGAGACAGCAGAAATATGTTTTAATCCCTGTAATGATCACCTGCATCATACTGCTCCACCATAGCAGGAACCAGACCACACTTTCCGGCTGTGTACACTTGTCCACCATCTACTGTTGCTGCATCAGCATCTGAACGCTGTAGCATTAACAGAAAATCAGAAACAATAGTCATTAAATTAAACAAATGTGAGTCCTGTGTGTTTTTGGGTGGACGCCGTCATACCATAATTAACTTCAGACAATGTTCAGGTGATTCTCCTTTTACGCATGTCAGTTCCATTGTTTTGATATTCCAATCGTCACACTTTGATGTCTCCTCACCCAAAACACACCATCTGAGGCCTTCAGGTGAACTGGTGGGAATATTGACTGAAAAAAAATTAAATAAATTAAATTAAATTGCCTTTTTATAATGTGCACATGCTTCATCCAGCTACAAATGTGTTTTTTGTTAAATACCTCTCTTCAGGCTTTGGAGGATTCTCATGTACTTGACACCCAGATACGTGAAGGCGTCTGTGTTCGGGGGGAGCCTGACCAATTTCTCTGTTGAATCCTTGAACATCAGGTTCTTTCCGTGGTCAGTTTTGAAAAGGACGCCTAGATGCTGGACAGACACAGACCTTCTTACAGAAACCTTACTAAGGAATATGAAGCACCAAGGAAACTGTAAAGTGCCCAAATTTCTCTCAGGTCCAGAAAGTTGACTGAGGAGTACCATAGAACAGAATTAGAGAAAAGGCTACATTTGTATTATTCTCTACTTATTTTATTGGTAAAAGCATTAATCAGGCCCCACAGAAAGTGCTGTTATGATTATGTCTGGTGAATGAATTGGTGTTTGTGTCTCTAAAATACAGTTCCTTCTTTCTGTTGCTCAGTTGGCTATTAGCTACATATGGTGAAGACTTTTAAACTGGAATCAATAAGACTGTTACATTACACAGTTCTGTTGGCGATTACCTGTCTTTGAATCTCATCGAGAGCATTCCAAATGAGATCCTCAAGATCCTTGTCTTTTCGTGTGACAACAGCATGAGCTGGTACTCTCTGCAGGTTACAGCTTTTATAATTGTCTATAGGTGCTCTGGTGTTATCCAAGCACAGCAGCTCGTATTGGTCCTTTTCCCCGTCTGCAAAACATTCATAAAGTGGTATTCAAGTTGATCAGTCAATGCCAATGAATTGACTTTACAATCATTGTTATCAAATAGTCAAACACACACACACACACACACACATATATATATATATATGACACTAACCAGGTATGGTGAGGTGCTTAATGAAAGCCACATCTCCTTTCTCCTTCAGACACCTGTACATCAAACTATACGTTTAAAAACACTTCAGTACTAACATGAGAAAAAACTGAAAAATTAAAAACACTGACCTGAAAGCACCATCATAGTTATAGTATCTGTTAGTACTAGTCATGCTGCAGTCTGTATTACACAGTTCACAGAGTCTGGGGTGATTTTTAGCTCCAGGAACACAGCTGCCTCCAAAGAATTCACTGACAGCTGTAAACATTGCAAATATTTGTGTTTCTTAAGGAATTCATTGTGGCCTAGTAAATCAAATCTAGCGTACTGCAGAAATATGTGGACATAGTCTAAAAACTGACAGTCTAAAATTAATTACAAACATTGTTGTACTGCATGTGACATAGTGATATTTCTTTTTGTATTTTGTTATTTTTCTTTTGTTAATATCAAGAAAAGATATTTAGCTAGCAAGTTTTACCAGTTAATATTAAAAAAGTCACAGCCTCCGAATCCTCCAATAAAGTCAAAGATTAAATACTGGATAAGGTGAAATTAGCAGAATTGACCTTGTTACAGGTCATTCAAAATGTCCATCACAAGAAGCAGGTGACTCACCAGTTTCCAAGGATTTGCTGTCACTACCATTCCAGCTTAAATAACTCCTGGACAGCAGCGTTCCAATGGGAATGTTCCATCCAGCAGACTTCCCCAACCCAGTGTGACAAGATTTCTTTCCCTTGAGGTCTTTGAAGACGAAGTTAGTTTCCTTCTTTGCCACAGCAACAGCATAGTAACATGTTTCTGAAGCTAGATGCACATAGAAAAATGGTGAGCAGAAATAATATCAAAATAATATAAAAAGTTTCTGTAAAGACAATCGACTGGTAGATATACCAGATTTGTACTCTTCAGCAATAATGGGATGCAATTGGTAGTCGTCCAGTCCAGCAGTGTAGATTTCTCCACCGTCCAAGGTGATGGCATCTGCCTCGGAATTCTGTTATTGCAAAACACATCTATATCAAACTAGTGAGGGAGACTGGAGATGATTGTTGAACAATTTTTCTCCAACCTGTCGCTTTTGAGCCTTTAGCCTTCAGAACTCTGCATCTTGTTTGTGTGTGTGTGTGTGTGTGTGATACAATGGCTTTAACAACAATAAACTGACAGCCAATCTGTAAAATTACTACAGTAGATAAAACATCATTAAATGCACTACTGCCAGGGCCTAAGTGCCCTGGAAATGACTTTGAATTATGTTTGTGAATTTTCTCACCTTAATTGCAGTCAGACAATCGATGATGCTTGCTCTGTCCACGCAGGTGAGTTTTGTAGAGCCCTCCAAACTCCGACACTTTGCAAGCTCCGCAGGTGAGGTGACGCACCACTTCACCCTTTCACCGTCCACCAAAACCGCAACTATATAAAGACAGACGGGAACGAAAACATACAGAATGTTGTAGCCACAAACCTCAGATAAACTGTATAAGACTGAGGAGGAAACGTTGCAAAATCTGTAAAAAAAAGTCATGTTCTTACTGAGGCATCCGAGCAGCGCTGCAACGAGAAGAGACTTCATGTTGGAGTCTGAAATTCAGCAGAGCAGTGACAGAGCGCAGCTCTGGCTTTTATATCGCAGGAGTGTGTACTTAAGTGAACAAGGGAAAACAGGGAGAAGTCAGACTGCCTATGTCCTAATAGCCCTCCCCCAGCCTTCCAGCCCCCCAGCCTCAGCCCTCCCCTCTTTCAGGTCAGGAGATCATTTTTGTAATAGTGGATTTTTCTGCCCTTTGAAAACACAGTTAAAAATCTTTTTGGCGGAGGAGAGAGAGCGGGAGAGAGAGAGAGAGAAAGAGAGAGAAAATTTAATCTGATGATTCACAGGGTAGCTGTGAGTTAATCACGATCAACAGCAGGTAGATGTATGTCACACATTTGTGAATAATCCAAATGATGAAATTATTAATATGGAGCAATGTCTATAAATATATATAAAATCTATAAAAGCTGTAACACATAGCTTTGAAGAGTTTGTGGATTTTTCTGTACATTGCACTTTAACAAGATTTTAAGGAAGCATCAGAGTTTTCAGCATTTGTCACTTCTGTTAGTTTCAGTCTGGCATAACAACATTTGTATCGACTGTGTATTAGAGCAATGATAAGTGGCTAAAATGTGGAAGCCCTTTGGCCATAGGTTAAAAAGACGAAGAAGAAAATTACAATCAATATGATCTATGCATTGACTTTGAGGAAGGTTTCATCATACCATCCATAAACCAACTTCAAGTTGACCATGGGTATGATTGTCTATTGTTGTATGGTCTTTACATTGTGTTTAGCGATTATGGACTGGTGACCTGTCCAGGATTGAGTTGTAGAAGATGAAGACAATCACACTCCAGATCTACAAAGTCATTCTTAGCATTTGTGCAGACTGGCACAAAACACAAACAGACCCTGGGAAATACAGGATGTGTTGTTGGTTTCTTTACATGTTCAAAGATTCCTCATTCCTTCTAAAGACAAAAAATGAGGCCATCCACAACCCAGCAAAGTAATTTCTGTCTTATTTCCAAATCAAACTATTTTATTTTTTAAACTGTAACCAACCTTCTCCCATCTATTTTTATGAATAAACCCTTTTTAAAATAACTAGAATATGATCTAGATTTCCTCAAATGTTACACAACTATGGCAAAGGATCAGAAGTGTAATTGTGACAGATGACTTATTAACTTCCATTGATTTCTTTCTGAGAACTTATGGACAGGGCCAAAGGTGACAGGGTCAACATCCTTCTTACACAACCAATATCTAATCAAACAAACCAGGTCTGAAACCAGATCAGATGGAGCCAACGTCCTGGTTTCATCAGTTAACATTTTGGCTTGTTTAAAGGTTACAAATGGTGTCGACATTCTGGGTTACCAAATTTTGCACAAAACCTGAGCTTTAGACGGAACTTTAGACAAAACAATAAACAGACCTAACATTTTCAGTACACATGTCCAATGCTGATGTTGTTCCACAGGAACAGTGCACCCTGCATTCTGTGATCTCCCTAAACTTAGTTCAGGTTGTAATAACAAGGAATGCTTTAAAATCTCCTTAACTCAGTATGCAGAAACAAACAAACACACAGTGTGGAGTGAAGAAATCGCCAGTGTCTGCACATTGAAACACACTCGGTCACCTCATGTGTTTGTACAGCTGCGTGTCCTTTTCTTTCAACTCTGACCATTGCTCTTTACAGACACTGCAATTATTTTGTGCTGGTTTATATAAAGAAAAATATCTATAACCCTTTTGTATGTAAAATTATATACATACAAAATCATACATATTTACTTTGCATACAGAAACATGTTATGTTATACATGTGTATATATATATATATATATATATATAAATATATATACACACATATATAAATATATACACATACATAACATAATTCCTTTTGGGAATAATTTCATCTCCCACCTGCTTAGTTGTTCACATTGACAGGTCTTTAGACATGATGTACCCAAACCTTTGCATGCCACTGTAAATATATACATATATTTTTATATACAAACAGTACATCTACACACACGTGATCTTTATTCTGTTTCTGTATGCAAAGTAAATTCTTGACCACTTCCGAAACAATATGGTTTGTTCTAATTAGCCGAGTTAGAAATTCTGTACACTTTATAAAAGGGTAGTATCGTGCAATAACATGTTAAGAAGATACAGTAATAAAAGACCAGAAACATCTCTACCTTGATTTAGGTGATTATATTTTAACATGAGCATATTTTCTTGGCAGCAATTATATAAAAAAAAAGAAAAGAAAATGACTACAGTTTATCAGCAGTCTTCCTGCGCCATCGCTGTACAGTGTAGGTCTGACAGAGAAGACCAACGTTCATCCATTCTTCACGGTATCAAAAGGTGAAATCCATAAACTGTCTACAGTTCTCTAATAGAAACATGGATAAAAATGTGCAGATCAGCTGAAATTCTCAGACCTACACAAATGTGTCATGGACACTGGACGCCTTTTCAACTGTATGGTTGTTTGTTTGTTCGCCACACACGTCTTTCCTTATAATTAAGCCTGCTCAAACAATGAGTGAGTGAAAGACCAAACTCCCTGTTCCTAGATACAGGAAGAAACCAGAAGCTCGAAAATATACTCTTGCCATTAAAACTACTCTCTGGTCTGTTTTTATACAGGTCTCTGATGCTTTGAGGTCTACCAGGGGGAAGTTTCAATTGAAAATGAGTTATATCATACATCATTCTACCATGATGAGCTTTAGTTATCAGACCACACACATCAGAGAGAGCACATATCGAGATACTCAAGAGTTTTGAATCTGTAACATCTTACTGCGTTGTGGCAGAACTTTACAAAACAATTAGGTTGACAGTATACTTTTCCAAATAGTTGAATGGCAAAGGTTGTGGTCCATCCACCTTGGAGTTGTCTTACAAAAATTGGTCTATTTCCAGCAGAAAGAAAGGGTGACTGTATCAGAACCAAAATTATTTATCCAGATCACTGGTGTAAAGGTGAGGTTTACCAAAGAAACACAAAAAAGCAAAAAGTCAGAGTGTCTGAGCAAAGGCTAGTTCCTTTCCTGCACAAAGACAGTCTCTTGCGGACAAAGCCCTGCATCTTGAAGTGTGATGTCATAGTCCAAGTGAGCGAGCTTTCTTCTGGGAAAGTTAGTGACGAGTTCGAAACGTTCATTTGGGTAACCCTTGGACTGGACGTGTCTTACCAGTGCCTTAAAAAAAGAAAAAACACAACACACAAACAAACAAAAAAAAAGAGTCTCAAATTGAAAGAAAGACATTTTAACACAACTAATACATAATTATGTAGATGTATTTGCTGCGGCCTGTGCACAAGAGGTGTGTACTCACTAATAGTTTTGCTTTAGAAGACATGGAAACTTGCTCTCTTTGACCATCTGGGTAACGGAGCATCAACCTGGCTTTGGGACCTGTGCAGAAAAACAAACACTTTTTGAAAGGATTCACAGATGAAGTCAACATACACTTAGATACAGTAATAAATAAACAGTAAGTGACAATGTTTTTCTTAAATACCAGTGCAACACAAATATGCGCTGAGGAAGAAAGCATATCACTGCATAAAAAGCACAGGCACAGAGACAGACAACAGCTTACAATGAAACCTTTGGTATTTTTTGTTACTGCTCACTTGTGCCTCTATTTTTACTTTTTAAGATTTAAGATTAATGAATTTAAGACAGGTATATTGTAGTATAGAGACAGTGTTCAGTCAAACATTGTGATACTATGTGGATTAAATTGACTATATATGTGGTACCATTGTCATCAGGATAGTCTAGATCTGAGCTGTTGGAGTTGGTTGTCTTTGTAGGTCCAGTGTTTTCTGCTATTGCGGAACAATGGTTCCCCCCAGAACCTGAGTCAGGCTGAAGATGACTGGAACCAGCAGTAGAACCAGGAGTAGCAACAGCAGTACACACAGTGGGCTCTAGATGGTTCTTTTTGCTCTCTTCTTTTTTGTGAGTGTGGTTGTTTTCCTTGTATGGAGATTTTCTGTGGGAGGAGGTTGAACTGTCTGGGTGTGGACGCTGCTGTGTCAATGCAGTGGCACCTGATGCCACCGCTGCATGTTTGCTGGATGAACTTTTTGCATCATCGTGTGATGCTGGCGTTTCACTGTCTGAGCCATCAACGGAGATGGGACCCTCGCTGTCAGAGAAAGGCTCTGCGTCCGATTCCTCGTCTGATCGAGGGGAATCAGGAATGTCAGGGACATTTGAGGACACGTAGTGAGTTTCCTGTAGGGAGGCTCTGATCGCAGCCTCTAACTGGCTGTCTTCACTGGCATCAATCAAGCTTTCCTATGGAAGATGTCAGGAAATGAGAGGACATGGTGTGAAAAAAATAAAAGTATGCAACACAAATACACTATAATCATATAGTAAATTAGACACCAGCTATATATTATATGCATCTATGATGTGTTAACTTTAAGACTGTACATCAATGTTGAGAGTTGAGAATTGATTGATCTTTAATTGAGGTTTCTTCAGTTCTAAGAATAGACACTTTCTGAAACCTGAACAACAAAACTTAAATGAGGATCCTTGAGGAAAACTCAACCAAATACCGGTAAAAAAATGTGGCTGCTTCTCTTATTGTTATAAAAATGTGTGCTATATTCTACAAATTGTAAGGTTTAGGTTAGCTGATCTGTTTGACTTGTTTTCCACATGTATATATATATATATAACTTTTTTATTCGTAAGAATGCTTTTTGTTTTTTTCCGGAGGTGTGAGGAATATGGGATGCAACGACGTTCGTATCAATTACATTTCTGAAGCAGAACTAAACTACCACTTGGAGCAGTAGTTAAAATATTGGATAAAGGAGACTTACAGAGCGAGCTCGTTTAGCAGGAGGTGCCTGGCAGGATGGTCCGTCTAGTTGACCATGCTCTGCCAGGAAGCCCGTCGCCTGCTCCAGAAACGAGGACACATCCAGCTGGTTCCACTCCACCATTTTTTGACCTAGAAAAATTCCAAAATGTTTGCCTCAGCACTGTTTTGTAACTTAAGAAATTACAGAACATGATTTGTTAATGGGGAAAAACTGACTTGGGTGCTGAACTTTTGTGTAATAATCCAGACTTTCTAGGACTTGTACTAAAGAATAACTAACCAAACTATATATCCCATAATGCATTGCCACCTTCTCCAAAAGGTAGAAGAGGTACACTGACATACTACTAAGAATTTATTTAAAGCAGACTAAATTGAACACACTTTGGGATTTTTATAGGATTTGAATATTGATCCCTCTTTTTAGAGTGAAAAAGCATGACCACTTGCTAAATCCACATAGACTCTTCACTCACCTGTGCGAGGGTCCAGGATGGAAATGGGAAATTTGTTCAGTTTATAAAACTGGATATACCTTTGTCCTTCTTCACTGTCATGATAAACCTTTAATAGGAAATAAATCCAAAATTCAACAAAGAGGTCCAATTTCTGTGCCTATTTATTAACATAACAGTCTATCTTGTGATATAAAATGGATGGTTTATGTTTTTTTATATTTTATACACACCTGCCAGAATATGAAGTGTTCTCTGATGATAGTTTTCACTGCATCGTTACTCCATACATCCCTGTTCAGACATTGACAGGCAAAATCCTGAACATTCTGAATGTTGATCATGAGCCACTTGTTCTCAAGCTGACCACAGTCTTTTGCCTGTAAACACATGAAAATGAAATAGGAAAATTAAAGTCTATAGGAGTAGTGACACACAGTGTTTCAAAAAGGCCAAAATGTTTTTTTTTGTGACAAAGCCAAGGAATTTATTGCTGCATGAACTACATAAACTAGATTACAGGTAGTCCACACCAATAGCATTTCTTTTATTATTAAGTCTCTTTATCTGAAGCTTTCTAGTTCCTTTTTAATGTAATTTTTTATTTCACAGGCCAACAACAAAGAAAAAAAGGGGGCTATATACTGGTGGGCCAACTCTAGTACACATTTGATACGATCTTGCGGGCCAAATATAATGTGGACCAGATGTGGCCCCTGGGCCTGAGTTTGACTTGTGTGATCTAGAGTATATATGTAGAAGCAGGTGATGGGCTCACACATCCTGATGGATAGGCTGAGGCTTTTTAACTTTTTCAATAACCTGTTGTTAAGACACCATCTTCTGCTCACTCGCCATCAAAAATTTCACGAAAAGTTGATAAAATTGGAGTAACGCTTGGTGGTGTAATGTGTCCAGCTAGTGACCCCTTACCGTCTCAAAGCTGCCTTTGTGCATGAGCTCAATGGGAGGACGGAAGAGGTCTGCCAGGGTGCTGAGTTTCTTATCCACTGCTCCACCGTTACGGAGTTCCTGTTCCTGACGAACTAAAAAAAGAAAACATTATTGGAAACACAGCGCATCATTTCTTGTCTTCCACAGTACTGTTATGGTTGTGTTTTTATCTGAGCTTCCACCAGTGTCTGAAGAAGAACTGTGACTAATTCTGACTTTTCTTTATCATAAAAGGCCTCTTCAATACAAATTGAAAGACTAGAGAAAACATTTATGTACAACAATTCATAGCAAGTAGATAATTTGAGATGAGTGGTACTAAATTCACTTTGTTAGACTTTACTTACTTGTTTCTGTTTGAAAGTCTCGAAAACCATCAAATATTGATCGAGCAGGTCTCCTTCGCTTTGGCACTGAATAGGTTACACAATAACATGTACACATGTTACTTCAATGGACAATATTACTTAGAAATAATACAAAATTTATGGTAATTAAAAAATATTGTTATGTCAAAAACAAAAAGTGTAGTGTAATACCTCCAAACAGTGGTTCCGGTTCTACCAATATGTCCTGCTTCTGTGGAATAGGTGCTCGTACTTCACTGCAAAATGTTTACAATACTGATGTCATTGGTTTAGACATTATGCAAGTAAAACAGACACAATCTCAGTTTGATTAACTCATCTGGCAGGAGAACCTCATCAGAAATAACTAACATTCTTGCTTTGATTTCCCCATGATTCAAACTTATCTTAAATACATAGAGAAAAAAATGAACTTACTCTGAAGGTGGAGCTCTGCTGCTAGAAGCCGCAGAACTGGAGCTGGTGCTGGGCTCTTCTGAAAGACCGCCTCCATCCAGAAACATGGTCACTGCCATCTCTAGGTTATTGTTGCATGCTTCCAGCATGTGTTTTCCTACACTTTCTGTGGCTCCTGAAAAAGGAAAGGAAAGAAAGAGTTCATAGTAAGAAAACACAAAAGAAAAAATAGCAACTCTACATCAGTATTATATCTATGACACAAGGGAAGACAACTGATTATAATAGAATTATAATGATATTAATTAATTATATGGCAAATAAAAATAGCAACTTGCAGCAAAACTGCAAAATAATATTTCCCCCATTTTTTTAAGTATCACTCGCGCCACTCTAAAACAATTTGTAATGATTTTTTAAACACCTTATACTGAGCACGATGCTCATTTTTTAAAGCTTTTGTTTGTTTTGCAGGAGATTCGACCAAATTGCATTGCATTTATAGGCACACTGTACAATCACAACATTTATACTGAGTAAATAGCATCCCCTACAGAAAAGAGAAGCAAACAACTGTTTTTCGAAAAACAAACAGCGACCTGTACAAAATTTGAGTCTAAAAATGGACATGTACGGAAAAGCGTGATTTTTGAGTAGATTTAATATATAAGAAAATTAAATAACAAATTCAACCGCCGCGTTTTTGTATTTATACTTTAGGCGCGACAAAATAAAGAATATAATAAAGGAGTTGCATGTAACTTTTATGTTTTAAATTGCAGAGTGCCGGTTGCCTACGACGCTCGCTCTATGTTCGTACTGCGCATGTGCGTTTCACTTTCCAACTCTAGTGGAATCAGCCTACCGTCATGAGTATTCTGTTTTATCCCATAAATAACATAAAATCGAAATAAAAACCTACACTTCTAATCAGACTGTTTAAATCACCTAAGAACACTTCAACGAGTGTAACGTACCGACGTGTGTTCACAAGAGTGCGGTTAAGACCACAGTTAGAGTGGAGCTGACAGCGAGACAACATGAAGCCTGGCTGCTGATGAAGAAGGGAAATGTTCTCAGTCGGCGTCCATTGCACATTATCCTACAACCAGGCAGTGCAGGGAATACACGAGCACCTCCAAGATAACTAAATAATGTGTTTATTTCACACATTAAGAAACGAGATGCGAGAGTTGGTCTTTTGCATTACATTATAAACCGATAGTTTGTGATAACATCTCCGAGTCTTTTACATGAGTTGAGCACACTGCTGGATCTGTTTTTTCCCTCATTGACAGCGCAGTGGCCAGAGCAACACTTAGCGAGCGTTAACTCTTCTACGCACCAATCTAGTGGGTTTTTTACAGGACTAAAATATTCCTATTGGACATCACAAACAATTCTGACGTATCGCATGGGAAAATATGTTTTTGTTTTACCTGTTATCGCTGTGAATTGTTGTATTAACCCGTTCATGGCCGGAGTTGAGCTGTCTCCGAGCGCCGCCATCTTACCGCCACAAACAACAACATAAATGTGACGCGTGCGCTGTGACTACCTTTTTTGTCGGGCCTGGCTGCGCGCGAGCCCCAACGTCACATACGTCACTGGGGCGCGATGATATATGGGTAATATAGTTCAATACAGTCAGAGTAAAGTTAACCATAACTTTTCATTTGCTAACAAGTTATGATACATTAATTCAATTTGTATTTTATATTTAAAAATATTACAGAGATGTAAATTAAATAAATTAAAGTGTTACAATATAATATAATTTCCATTTACTGACTCGGTGAGAAAGAAAATCCTGTAGGAATTGCTCAGTTTCACAGCCATTAGAACAACACATTCTCAAATAGTGTCATTTTATTGTTATTTGCATAATACATTCATTTTCAAACAGAATCAACCAAGTCCATAATCTAACGCTAACAATTGAAGGAACAAAAGGTAAAAAGCAATGAGCTGCTCATTCACAGCCCAACAAAGGTAAAGTGACGGCATCATACATTGCTCGATTGTGCTGCAGGTCACAAACAAGAAGAAAAGTAAGGTATATCTCTTCAGTTAAGGTATCAATGACTTTTTGCCAGGAAAGTGCCCTTCCCATTTTTACAAGTGCACACAAAGTTCAGTCCAACTGGGCATTAATAAGTGTTAAATCCAATTATAAAATAACTTTATATTCTGAGATGTTTCTTCATTTTGTCCCTAATTAGAAATTTTGTTATGATGTGAGCTCATTAACCTTGTACTTTCTAACTATGCAATTAAGTTCAAGTTTAATAACAATTTAATAACAGTAAGAGTAAAAAGAAAATCTACTTCATTATAGACATCTATGATACAAACCAACATGTTTGCTTATTCACAAAACAAACTTGATATTTACACATCTCTTCAAATGTGTAAACCATCTTTAAGCTTATATGTGATATGATATGTAAAAGTTTTATGCAAAAAGATTTTTTTTTTTAAATCTTGGGACCTAAATTGAGGCTATTGTGACATTAATATGACTGTTCAGCCCTGAGGTGGAAAATGTCTTTACTAAAATGGGAATAAAACAAGTATATTTAATATGTATTCATGGCAATGCATGGTCGATATGAACTGCTGGAGTTTGATCAGCATATGGAATGGAGCAGAAAGGACATTTTATTGCATTAAAATTAGTTGTTGGGTATGCTCAGTTCTAAAATGTCTGATCAACTGGGAGTAATTCATTTCCACAATTTGTGGAGTTAAAGGTTAAGGGTTGTAAAATAGGATTATTTCAAGATTACTGATAACTGCAATTAGGGAGTACGAAACATAACACATCAGACGTTGAAGCAATGTTTGTATAAAACATAAATAAGTACTATATCCTACTGGCTATTAAATCTTTTGCACTATCATCATTTTTAGTAAGTTAAAAAAAAATCACAGTTGAATTTTACTATAATGGATTATTATATTACCCCTAACTATTGGTCTAAGCTCCAACAATGATGCTATATTTTGAGTCACCTGATTTACCTTTCTTCTCCCTTGCGCATGTTACGACCACAAGACTGAGAAAAACCAACATATTTATGTCGACAGTTAAGTGCACTGTTTTATATATATGTGTGTATCATAACAACACAGAAGTGCCTAAATAAAATTAAACAGTATCTTAAGTGCTTCAGTAGTAGAAAACACACTCTGCCAAATCAGAAAATTTATAGTGTGCAGGTCAGTTGATGTTCTGAAAACAGGACACTGGCCTAGTTGGAGTTAACAGAAATAAAGATGAGCTAATTTGAGCAGTGTTTTACAACCATCCATCACTTGCTGTTGAAATGTTTCTTTCAGAGAAGACAGATGCTTTCACGTCTCATTTAGATGCATCTTGCGATTGCGGCATGTTTATTACAGAACAGTTTTGCAGTAGCTGAAACTTATGAGCAGATTGGAAAAATGTAATTTCATTTGTTCTGTTGTAGTATTGTAAGGGTTAGAATATGTATGAACCCAACCTAATAGTCTTGTTAAACTGTTGTTGTTGCAGTTGCTGTGTACACGGCAAGAACAGACTTATACCAAATAGTAAAAAAAAAACCCTAAATTAAAAAGAATGTATCTCTTTCCTATGTTTTGTTAACTGCAACATTGACATAATAAATGACACAGATTTTCTACTTTGCTTTTGGGCACCATATAAGGAAGATGAGGCTATTATAGTGTGCTGTATGCAAAACAATAAAACTACAATAAGTGTAGAGCAAAAATGACGACATAGGGCGTCGGCTATTTCAACAGTTCATATTCAACTCAATAAATAAGTAAGCCCCTGTGCAATAACGCAGATGAGCAAAGTATGAATGAGAGCTTACATGCATGCCATGTATGTTAAGAGAACCAAGGATGACTTTATTGTGGGGATGCTCCTTTTTGAATGTATGATTCAGTGACTTACAAAATGAAGTTTGTTACTGCAGAGAAGGGAAACGCAGGAGCCTAGGGAGAACACTGTGAAGTTTGCATGTGGGTTGAATACTGCAGTTTAAAAGCGGATGAAGGTGGCATCAATCTGGCGTACACTGGGAAGAGCCAACATGATCTTTCGCCGGTATTGCGGGTCCTTCTGTAGGGGGTTTCTTTCAAGATAGACCGTCTCCAAAGACTTGGCATTCTTCAGCTCGTCCAGGTCTGACCAGTTGTCTATCTGATTATCGTTCATCTAGGTAGGTAAAGACATTAGCAGGCAAACAAAAACATAACACAGTTAGCATTTAATAGCTAGACATATTTTAATGGTAACCAGGGATTTTTTTTCATTTGTGGATATCTTTTAAATGACCACACCCAGTGTGTTTCCTTGATCATTTATACAGATGCATTTGGATAAGCACAAGAAGAGTTAATCATTTATGATGCAGTATGCTGCTGTGCATACTGTCCACTGCCAACGAGTACAGCATACTGTTTATAAGTTTGTTGAAACTAACAAAGGGTGGATGTGCTGCTGAGAATTAAAATGAACATAGGATACTGACCCAGAACTCCTGCAGTTCAGTCAGGTGGCTGATGTTCTCTATTTTCTTTATTCGATTGGCTGCAATGTCCAAGGTTGTCAGCTTTTTCTGAGAGAAAAAAGAGGAGTAAAGTATAAGTAAAAAAGACTTACTGCCTGCTCAGAATCCAGTACTCTTAGAAATGTCTACTGATTTTGGGTAACTTACATTGTTCTCCAAGCCCTCTATAATCTCAATGCCATTGTGGCTCAGATAAAGCTCCCTCAGGTTAACGAGGTTCTGCAGACCTTCCATTTTAGTAATACGATTACTCTGAATGGAATAAATGGAAAACACATTAATGACCAAAGCAAAACAATATACATGGATTTCTACATTGTGAGTGCTGAGGAAAACTTAGGTAAAATACCTGAATACTTAACACTGTCAGGTTGTGCAAACCCTCCAGATTTTGAAGTTTGGTTATTTTATTAGTACCAAGAAACAAACTTTGCAGTGATGAGAGCGTATCCAGGTTTTCTATGACCTGTGAATTAGACAAAATGCACATTTTCTATTTCTTTTTCTATACAATGGATTAAAGTTTATAAAACTGAAAAAATAAATGGTGAAGAGCATCCTACCCGGATGCGATTGGAGCCCAGCTCCAGCATCTCCAGGACTGTGAAGTGATCCACATTGCCAATGGTTGTAATTTTGTTATGAAGCAGAAAAAGCTTTTTCAGCTGAGTCAACTTCTCCAAACCCTCCACCTTCCTCAGAATGTTAAAGGACACGTCAAGCTGCCTGTGGGACAGACATACAAATTGCTCGAACAACACCGACAAATTTAAGTGATTTTACTCACTTTGAAGTTAGATAGCATTATTCATCAAATATTATTATACAGTTATATATACTCACTCCAACTCTGTGAGGTTGTGCAGGTTCTCCAGTTTGCGGATCTGATTGTCATAAAGATCTAGTTCTCGCAGTGAGTTCAAACTATCAAGATTTTCGATCTTTTTGATGAGGTTTTGTCGTAACGACAGTGTCTACATAAAAGAAACAAGAAAGAAAAATAGAAGTTGAATCAACATAAAAAATGTAGGAGTTTACTTCACATTCAGCATTCCATATTGAGGTCACTTACTTTGGCTTTTTGTAGAACCTCCAATCCCTCAATCTTTCCGATACGACAGTGAACAAGATCAACATCCTTAAATGAATAAGAGACAATTTAGGGCACTGTATAACATCTTTTTTATGACTCATAGCATTTCTTCACAGTAATTCTGCCATGTTTACATTTAAATGCTACAAATAAAATAAATTAGACAAAATGAAATGACGAATACACAAATAGCATTTTAACAAGTTTAACATTCTTAAAAAAAACTAGTAAAATAAAACACTCATGAATAATTACTTAAATGCAATTAAAAATGCATTTAAGTTTTTACCTCTTCCTCTGGATCCAAAGTTATGGTGTCCATGTCTACGGGAGACTCTTCTTTACCTTTAAATAAAGAAAGATTTGATTTTCATCTTTCATTACATCTGCTTGTCAGTAGATTAAACAAGGATAAACTTTGTTTGATTTTGATAAGAGCTAACCTTTTTCTTCTTCGATCAGTATAAAATTATTTAAAAATGTAATTTAAAAGACACAACAACTATGTAACAATGATCTCTGTCAAACTGCATTTCCCTTTATCTGATTTTCTGTCAAATAACCTTTTATGAAAACTGGTGGGTTCCAAAAATGTTAGCATCTGTATGGTAATTCTATTTAAACAATTTCTCAAATTAATCCCGCTCAGTTGGAGTATTCGAAATAAAAGAATTGGTCCAGTGGTGACATTGGTCAGGCCATAATATTTGCAGCTGACAAGCTGAATTTTGAGGCTGCTGTAATTCTTGTAAATACTTACTTGTGGTCACAGGTTGATTTGTATCTACATCACCGTTAATACTCCTCCTCCTGGTCTCATCGTCACCAGACTCCTCCGACTCACCCCTCCGGTCCACTGCAGGAAGATGATAAAGGACATATTTATTTTAAATAGCAAATGCAAAACTTTAATGGTGTTATAAAGAATAATTATTGATTCTCAAATGGCTTAAGTGGAAGGATAATTAAGATTAGACACAGTATGACCTTCCTGAGGTAAACAGACCGCATGGGTGAAGACAGACACACTTTAAAGATTATAACTCTAACAAGTCTATGGTTAGCACAGGTGCCATTCCGATTCTAAAATATCTTGTTAACCATTAATATAGACAGTTAAATTTCGTTTATCATAATTAAGAGTATAGCTTAAAAAATGAGAATCGATATTGACTGAAAAAAAACAAGTTCAAAGGGCATTGTTATTTTTTCATAAATGATCCGTAGGAACTTGAGTAGCTAGAAGTAGATACATTTATTAGTAATTCTGCTGAAGTAGAATAGCCTTACAAGATTTAAAAAAAAGCTAATTTTAGCACTGCTAACCTCGCTAGCACAGCAGCCAGGTTAACAAGCATAATGTGGAGTATGACATCACCGCAAAAGTTTTGAAATAACAGTGTATACACGCCACGACACTGTTATAACACGTTACATATTAGTTAAATAGGGCGGTGTGGGTGAATAACGATGAGTGACAGCGCATTGTTGTTAGCCTGTTAGCTCGCTGGTTAGCCAGTGATGCAGGTGTGCACGACCACGAATGGAAAGACTAGCTAGATGGGCTAATACAAAACTAGGCATATCTGTACTGACTATTATATACTCCGACAGACACTGCGAACATGGAAATTTGCATTTTTACGTATCTACCAACCTTCCATATCTTGGAGTTCTCCAGCAGACGGGGAAGCCATTTTTACTGTAAACACTCCTGACAACCGCTCAGCCAATCCGATGCGAGCTCGTTCTGCGGCTGAAAGAACACTAGAGGGCGTCGTACAAAAAATCTAAACAGTTATGTATTCTCTCTCTCTCTCTCTATCTATCTCTACCCTACCCCCGCTCTCTCTATTTAACCCTAATTTGATGTGTTATTTCATCAGATTTCTTTATGTTCCTAAAGCCAAATCATTTATTGTCTTGTAAATAAAAGTATGTGATCAAATGCATATATATATATATATATATTGTTAATTCATTTTTCTGAATTTTGTGGTTTGTTTTTAGACAGATAAGCTACAGACAAATGTGCCGAACAGGATCTGCAGCCCAGAGCTGTTGATAGGAACTGAAGTAATATAATGTAATGCAAGTATGGACTAAGAGGCCAATTTTGCGTATTAACTGATTGGGAAAAATATATACAGTAAATGCATATTTCAGTTTGATAAAAGTGAACCAAAGGTGTATTATACCAAGTTCCATACTTGTGCCAAAAAGCATACTTTGCCCTAAGATCCCTGTCTGTGAAGTGTCTCAGAGCAGATTGTTTATACAATCACATCTGTCAGGCATATCTTCCACTTTAAGATTTGGCCTGTAGCTTGAACTCGGTCAAACAGCCCCTGTGTTTAAACAATGTTTTACTATACTTTGTTTTACTACTACAAGTGCATAAAACAAATAGTATATATACAGGTTACACACATAGATTATCTTGTTGTTGAGAAGCTGCTGTGTTATTTATTCCTGATAACAACGACCTTTAGAAATAATAGATACTGTATGATGATGACCCTAATATTTTGATAGGTTCTTGAAAACACAGATATTCACAGAATGTTCCAGATTTTCCTAGTTATATCTACAACTCTCTGTATCATCCAGGATAGAGATATGAGTTCTGTCATAACTGTCAACTACTGCTGTGTTGCCCATATGATGTTTTTTGCTCAGCTTCTGGCTAAATATTTTTTAAGTTAGCAGGTCAAAAAAGCATGGAAAGAAAAACAGCGGCTAGAATCACTGTACTTATTAACAATGCCTTAACAGTGAACTGAGTTGGTAAGGTTAACAGCCAGCACACAGGAAGAATGCCTTCAAATGTGTGTCAGTGTTTAGGGGGTATAACATGTAACATGCTTTGCCAAATGCACTAGAAAAGTGATAAGCCCTTCCCTAATGATTTAGCTACAGTTTTTAACACACGGTACACTACGATGGTTTAGACGTGTGCTCAGGAGTGATACAACGCTGAGGATTGAGCCCCTGAAAAGTAGAATATAATGAAACCGGATGTGGAGGCTCGTTGGCTAATACGGTGTGAAATGGGTGCTGAAGATCAATTTTGTAAATAATAAAAAAAAAAATATATATATATATTTGTTAGAACAACCCCATTGTGCTGAGCTGTCACTCCTACAAAAGTTAAACGATGACTAGTTAAGTGACAGATTCAGGAGTGAGTTACTCCCACTTAGCTAAGGCAAAAGATTTCATTTACACTGCGCTGTTTAGCATCATGTTCTTAGTACTGCAGATGACATTCTTGCTTAAGAATAAGATACTGAGCAAAAAGAGGAACTGTAGTTTAGTTACAAGTAGACTAGACCACTGTTAAGGCATTGGCACTGACAATGAAGTGGACTATTTAAAGATCACAAAAGCTACAAAACGGAAGTTGTCAAAAGAATAGAAATTGTTGCTGGAATGAAATCCTAAACAAATCCCACAGCTACTTGATGTCCTGACTTCCTGGCTTCTTCTTGGAACAATTCTTTAAATGTAGTTCAGCATGTAATCCCTGGTAATGGTCATTAGGTTTAATATATATATATTTATATTGATTTAATGTGAATGTGTTTTATTTGGATTATCTCACCTGTAGACCTTTGCAATTTATTACGTCAACATTTCTCCTGATCCCAATAAATATATCATCTTAACATTTCTCACAATAGCAGCTGTTAGGACTGCACCAGTACTGTAAAGCAGTTCTGTTTGGCCAGGAACCAAGGCCTTGTACTGTACTAATTGTCAAGATAAAAGGATATTTGTTGCTAAGGTTGAAACCCACATAAAAGGGTTGATGCAACTGACCCCATTATTAATTTATTTAATAATTAATTTAATTAAATCATTAAAGTTTATAGCTTGAATAGTTTTTAAGGATCGTAAATATTCTGCACATACCTAGTTTAAATATTGTTTATGTTTCTTGTTTAAGGAAAACATAAAATGTGCCATGCGCATTTCAAATAATGCAACTGGATTTCTTTTGTGTTGGATGGACCAAGGTGTTTGCTTTGTTAAAAAATAAATAAATCGATTGCCCCGATACATTGTATTTTAAAATTCACTTCCTGTAAAACCCCCATCATGAGACCAAAACCGTTCAAACGCGACTAGTTCAACCTTGTTCTTCTATGTAAACAGAAGGAGGGGTGGGGTTATTTAAAAGACCGGAATACAGTACGACCAAAGCAAAAGCGGCTGCAGCACTAACGATAGAAAGAGCTGGTGTGACAGTGCATTACCACAGGTGTTTGTTAAATTTAAAAAACTCTGCTACTTCCCACGTGCGTGCAAATTCTGTAGCTGCTGCTTTTAAATCACCCACGGCGGCGGTGTCGAGGGAACGGCGGTGTTCTGAGCTGAAAGCAGAAAGAAAAATGCATTTTCCTGTTATTCTGCTGCTCGTGTGCAGCTACGGATTATCTCAAGCTGCCCCCGCTCCAGTGGGTAAGAACTCTGCGTTATTCGATTTCAAATTTGCCAAAGAAAAGAAAACACGGAAGCAGACAATTTAAACTAACTAATAGTGAGCAACGCAGTTATGTTTAGATGGATGGTTGTGTCTACTTTGCACTAACAAACGACCGGTTGGCAGAAACACCGATACAGATTCAAGAAATAACCGTTTAGTTTATTTGTTTTTCTTGTGGAGGGCGTATGCCACTCTATGATAAGTCGCTGCCTTGGGTGCATGTCCTGGATGTCTCCGCAAACATCATCATCATTGTCATCCATAATAAAATTAAAATGTGAAATACTGATATATAACTTAGTGCAAAAGAATATTTTCTTCAGTAGTTGCCCTATCAAAAACAGAGCCTGGGCCCATTTATAGTCATTTTTATGCATTTTCAACCTTTTTGAAAGAGGTTGAAATGGTGGTCAAATGAACTAAACTTATTTGCCTATTTTATTTATGCATTATTAATTATTTATTTACCTACTACCTATTTTACACCCAACTTTAAGCTGAGGTGAGTGAAACTAGGACGATGTTTAAGAACACGTACACTCGGTTGTTTTCCAAAGGGCAGCGCTAACATCTTAAATCTTGAAGATGTACCTAATGTTTTGTTTGTCTTTCTTCAGATACCGTCATAGTTCAGGTCCAGAGGTGGAGAGTGCCTGGTGCTCAGTGGGTGGAGGAGCAGGTTCTTGTCAATGGAGTCGCTCTGACTGATACAAGCCAAGAGTTGAAAAGTATAATCAAAAGCATTTCAGCTGACCCCCACATTCCAAGTGTTATCAACAGTACTTCAGTGGCTAGTAAGACAGTTGTCATGTGATAACAATGACAATACACTCAATAACCTGATTTAACATATTGCGTATTGGCAAAAGCCTCTTGTTAATTGCTTTGTTCTCACTCCTCAGAGAATCACTCTCTTCTCCGTTCTCGCGAGTGCATACAGGAGGGGTCTCTGCTGATCTGGAAGGATTGCATTTTTTGTGAGGGCACAGTCTGTCTCACACTGGACCACACCGACACATGGATGGCTCACATGCCGGGCGGCCTGGCTCTCAAGGCCTTGTGGGATCAGGAGGTGCAACGCACAAGGGCAGAAAGGCAGCGTCTTCAGGAGGGATGTGCCAAGCTAATGAGAGAGTTGAGCCTTTCAGAGGAACACACAGGTATATATTGTAAATCACTTAACATTTGTTAAAGCAAGTGATAAATATTGCGAAAAGCTTCCGGTGAAACTCATCGCAGGCTGTGCACCAATGATGTTTGAATTTTAAGCCAAGTGTGTTGTCAACATTATGTCACCATCATTTCCTGACCTCTCGATCACACACAGTTTGTTTTGATCAAGAGGCCACACCTCACATCCTTCCTGCATTGATGGTGAAGGGATTTAAATGTTATTTAAACCCCAGTCCAAATAACAAAATATATTCACTTTATTTATAATTCACTATAATTATTTATATTAAGATGTAGTCCTTATCAAATAAAAGCAGATATAATGGGATAATGGGATGTGTAGTACTGCTCTATTTTGTATTTTGCTCTCTGTTGTATTATTGTAAACTATATATTGTATTACTGCTCTATTGTAAAAATGTAAGGGTTTTTTGAGGGACAGTCATTCTGGAACTGAAAGTAAAAAACCTTCGCTTGTTTATTGTGGTTAGCTGCATTTCCATCATGTTAGTACATATTTATTTCATACTACTCACAAAGCAATATTAAGTCAAGTATTCACTTTTCTGGTAGTATTATGTGTTTTATCTTCATACATTTGTTAGCCTGTAGTTTCAGTGTGGCAGACCTGTAAACTTAAAAAAGTCTCGCTAGGCGTCTAATGGGTGCGGATTTTGGCAGCAGCTGGAGGCATTTAACACATGAAACAATGCCCCAACCATAACGTTAATACTGGACATAACCATGATTTGTTTTACAGTAAACAGTTACATAACCAGTCACATGTTTATAATGCTTTCTCAGCCTCAGAGGTTCCCTTGCCTAAAGTTCTGATCCCAGTCCTGGCTCTCTTGGCATTTATTGGTCTGATCGTTACCAGCCTCCTGCTGTCCAAAAACTGGGGTAAGTAACCAGGAAATGCCCATTTGGAAGTAGATCAATAATGTCCTCTGTATTTAAAGATAAAGAATTAAAAAATACATGAAATTTTGAGCACTTACTCATTTACTTCAGATTATTTTGCATAATGCAGAGCATTTCCACTGCCTTAAAAACTAATCACATGACTATTGGGGCATGAGGGTTGATTCTCGCGCAGTGGAATGATGTCATGTGTTTTGTTTTTCTCCCTCTGCCTAGGTTTGAGGCACCCTGGAGGTAAGAACACATCCAGTTGTTTATTTTTAGTCACTGTACACTCCTGTGTAAAGTGACACACATAATCACATTTTCATAGCAACATTATAATAATTTAGTAGATGACTAAAAGAAGTTTGCTATTTTAAAATTATATTTAACTCAAACTTTATAGATAGCAGCAAAGAGAAATATACAGACCTATTTCTACCACTAAAGTTTAGAATGGAAGAGTTACGCCCCTGTTTTAGATCCTATCCTTGGCTTTGATTAACATATAGTAGCTTTGATTCAGATGGTATAAAATAAATAATTTTATTTTCATCGTGTTCAGTGATGATAGCTAAGGACAGCCAAAACAAGGGCACCATAACTAACAACTGTTGTTACATTTTTATTTTGTCAGGTGTCGTCGGCTCAGTAATCCATTACCCTAAGGACATGGCGGAAAAGGTTCCAGAGAGAAAAGGAAATGGATACTGCACCCTGTAACCCTGCTTTCTCACCTTGTGTTTTAAATGTCTGAACTTAGCTTTATTCAGACAGCGTGCAAAACAGTCAAATAATTTGCCTTATTGTATTTTTTAAACATCAATGTAAAAAGGTACAAATCAACTACTAATTAAAAAAGTCTGATGGTTTTAGAATGTGAAAGTCATTAGAATTATTTGGCAACACGTGACACACAGTCTCAAAGTAAACTCCAAGTCGTTTGATTGAAAACATAAATTCAATTTGATCATCAAGTATTAATAGGATGAGTAAAAAAAAAAGAATAAATCTGATTTTAGGAAAATCTGATCCGCCTTCACTGTAAACCGCAGCCTTTGTGTTTGTTTTCTGGTTTAAAATCTGGTTTTAAAGCTTTTGTTTGTTGTGCTGTAAAAATGTTGTCACTCCATGAATTAAACCTTTGCAATGATGCAGCATCAGCTGTCTGCTGTAATGAACCAGTCCCAATTTGAATGCACTTTAACATGACTGTATCATGCTTTACACCAATGTACAAGCTACTTTTTGTTACACTGTACTATTTTATTCTAGAGATATTGAAATGTCATGTAATCCTTTCCAAAGACATTGTATGGCTATGCAAATATCTGTGTGATTGAATATTTTTGCATAAATAAACTGTATGCTGTTGTGGTTCTGAACATGTATGTATTTGTATTTTTATTCTAATACAATGCAGACATTCCAGTACATGCAATCATGTGACTGTGCTCATATCTACTGTTTCAGTTATCCTTAACTTATTCTCCTATAGAATACGGCAGTGATGCAGGCAACAATAAATACAAGTACAATTTATTCTTAATAAGATGTGAGCAGTCTGTCTCAGCTGCAGAGATAATCCTTGCGTTCAACCACAGAATGTACTGTATGTTAGGCTTGTGAGCTGGATGGACGGTATATTCTGAAATGTATGTGCTGCCGTTTTGTTAGTAGCTGAATTTAATCTTTGAGTTAACAGATGCTCAGTCAACATAATTAACCTGGTAGCTTGTAGCGGAGCGGTTAAAAGGATCACACGTAAGGAGTGACGGTACGAATCCTTCTCCCTGGAAAGCTCCTGACGCCGCAAATTTAACACACAATCTAGAATGTTTATAGAACGTTTTTGTTTATGAATAAATATTATTCTTCATATAATAATTATTATTGGTCTGTTTGCCCAGTAGATGGCGGTAACGTTTTTAATTATAGAAAAAATCAACCGTTGACTTCACCGGAAGTCCCTCCCCTTTTTCCTCATGACCCATACTTCCTCGCAGCACAGAGCGAGAGTTACTTAAACGAACCAATCACAGAAGAGCGCCGGGACATTTAAACTGCGTCTCTTGATGTTTTACAAAATTCAAACGTTACGATTCAGTACTCGGAAACGCTGAGGTTCTTTGACGTTTTCTGAAAGAGGTAAATAACTTTCTTTTTCAAATAACAACGATACCACTAGGACTCGTCTACGTTACCCCCCATGCATTAGTCGATGAAAATGTGGTTGATTATGTAGTTAATGTTAATAATCAAAAACGTTGCCCAGGCAATGTTAACACAGTTGGGTGATATCCTTGTTGCATTTTCATTTTGTTTCTTTTTTAAATAATAACTTGCTGTTGTCTACATCTAAATTAGATTAAAACTGACAATGATGTCAAACTAGTCCGTGTGGTGGACTAAATGCATTCATTGTAAATGTTTTTTTTCCGTGTTGTTTGTTGCCTTAGATCCTTTGAAACCAAACGTACGATGACGCAGTTTGGCTTCGATAATGACATTCAAAGTATCCTCAAGCTGGACATGCCCATTACAAACGCTCCCATGGCTAGGTGGCAGAGGAAAGCCAACTCCTCGAGCTCCGCAGCACTGGGTGGTCTGTCGCCGGGCAAATCGACCAATGTGTCATTGAGCTCTTCAAAAACACCCAGCAAAACACCAGGTAGTGTTTGTTTGTAGTCATGAAATATGACATATCTAAAGACTAGTATATTTTCTTTCTATTTTCTATCCTTAAAGATATGTACTTGCATTTTTGCCCTGTGGTTTATATTAAACTAGCCTCAGTTTTTTTAAAACATTGCTCAAAAGAACAGCACATAATGACATCTAGTGAGTTTGCAAGCCAGTGAATATTGATCTGACAGTGAGCTACTGTGAAAAAATACAAAGCTAATTCCTGAGTAGTTCATGTTTTTTTGGAATCTGTTGTGTTTGCAGTTAGTGTTTTAATAGTTTATTTTCAAATTTAAAACAACAACAAAAGTCTGTGACAGGCTCTGTAGTTGCGTTTGTGGAATCTTCAGGTGGGTTACACTGCTGAAAATAATTGACTTGTTTAAAACTCATAGGAAAAAATAAAAAACAGACTCCCTCCAAGATGGTTGGTGACCGCTTCATTCCAACAAGGAACAGCAACCAAATGGATGTGGCAAGCTTCCTGCTCTCAAAGGAAAATGAACCAATGGATGCAAGCAATCCAGTACCATCAGTAAGTTGTTTTGTGTTTAGGTCTGTTTCCTTCCCATAATTACCCTTCAAAGTTGTACTCCTCTTGGTATCATCAGTCAGGTATTGAGTGAAACATGAGAATATTTTACTGATTGAGATTTTTGTTTTTCTTTTGGGGGAAAAAAAAGGAAAGCCAGAGGGCTTGGTCTGTGTCATTGAATGGATACAATATTGAAGATGCAAAAATCCTGCACTTGGGAGGAAAACCACTAAATGCACCAGAAGGTAACTATGTTCAAATACCCATGTTGGGCCTAATACAACATAGATGTTGCCTTTTATTCATTTAAGTGTTTGTGGCTTGGTTGATTTACAGGCTATCAAAACAATTTGAAAGTCCTCTACAGTCAAGTTGCTACACCCGCTTCAGTCAAGAAAACAAGATATATATCCTTAACTCCTGACAGAATCTTGGACGCTCCTGATCTTCGAAATGACTTCTGTATGTTTCCCATACATTTAAATGTAGCAATAATGATGCCTATCAGTAAATTATTTTACCAAAAAAGGCAGTTTGGCAGCTTGTGACCACCCATGTTCCCACCCACAGATCTGAATCTACTTGATTGGAGCAGTCGTAATGTCCTTGCTGTGGGGCTTCATAACAGTGTTTATTTGTGGGATGCCACTCAAGGAGACATCATTTTTCTCATGTCTATGGAGAGGGAGGAGGACTATATCTGTTCAGTGTCCTGGGCCAGTGATGGAAACTACCTGGCTGTTGGAACCAGTGACTGTAAAATACAGGTGAGCTATATATATATATATACACACACACACACACACACAGTCCCATAGGTAATGGATTTAAAATGAATCTGAACACATTTGTCATTTGTCTTAAGCTGTGGGATGTTGAAGCTCAAAAGCGTCTACGAAACATGGCCAGCCACACAACTAGAGTCGGTAGCCTGAGCTGGAATGCACATATTCTTTCCAGGTAATGAGACTTTTACTTCTATTTCAAAAGGTGTTTTTTTTTTTTTTTTTTTTGTCAATTGGATAATGACCCTTTGTCCCCTGTTTTCCGCACAGTGGCTCCAGGTCAGGCCACATTCACCATCACGATGTGAGGGTGGCAAACCATCACTTGTCAACACTCAATGGTCACTCCCAGGAAGTGTGTGGCCTGAAGTGGTCTCCCGATGGCCGCTACCTGGCCAGCGGGGGCAATGACAACCTAGTATATGTATGGCCCCGTGGGCAAGAGGGCAGTGTTAGCAATGACACCCAGTGGGTCAACTGCTGGAATGAACATCAAGGAGCGGTTAAGGTCAGTAGAATGACAGTTGTTAAACTTTGTCACGTATTTCTTTGTCTCTTCCCTTAGAAAGTAGCGGCGACTCAATATTGTGTGTTAGCATAGTTTTTATTTATTGACACAGAACATTTTCTTATTAAGCAACAGCCATAGCAGGGAGTAAAAACAAACTTTCACTTTTGAAGACACATGGGTCACATCAGGACTGCATTAGAGCTGTTGAACGTTGTGGGTCATCAATGTGTTATTTTAGGCCTTAGCCTGGTGTCCATGGCAGCCCAACATCCTGGCATCTGGAGGTGGCACCAGTGATCGTCACATACGTATCTGGAATGTTAACAGTGGTTCCTGCGTCACTTCTCTTGACACTCAGTCTCAGGTACAGCACACCTACTTTTGTTTTATTTTTGTTTGTTTTTTTTTTTCTTTGTTTTAATTAAGCTCATTAATGAACGATACATTTGTTCCCTTCAGATTTCATCACTGGTGTTTGCACCAAACTACAAGGAGCTGGTCTCAGGACATGGTTATTCTCACAACAATGTTGTCATCTGGAAATATCCATCCCTGAGCAAAGTTGCAGAGCTCAACAGTACGTTTAGTGACATTAGCTGGCCTACCATGACTGCGACTTGAATTTGACAAGTGCAAATGGACAAACCAGGTTCTGACATACATTTCTTTTTTTTTAATTAGGCCATCAAGACAGAGTTCTCAACCTGACAATGAGTCCAGACAACTGCTTTGTTGCGTCTGTAGCCGGAGATGAAACCATTCGCATGTGGAAGAGCTTTGAGATGGATCCTGTTAAGAAGAAGGCCAAAGAAAGGATGATGAAACCACTGAGCAGTGTCATCCACCAGCCCATCAGATGAAATGTTATTTTTTGTTAATCTATGTTTCTTTAAAGTTTTTAAGTCCATGTTGAATGAATTGTTTTTACAAACTACAATAAAGATTTCTAACCAGCCTTTTAGCTCCTTGTGGGTAGAGTAATCAGTTTTTGTTTATAATGATCTGCTGGTGTTGCTTCAAGATAGTATTTATGATCTTAAACATGTGTTGTAATCAGAATACTATTTATGTAACTGGTTTACTATAAATGGTTTTAATGCAGTGCTTTTGTCATGTCAGTGTATAGACTGTATAACATACAGTATCTGCTCCAAACCCTAGTTGTAATGATTCCCACATCCTGTGTTTGGGTTTCTGGCCTTTCCATAGCTGTGAACACACTATCAGGTCTTAGCAACAACTCCAGTTGAGAAAAGTCTACTACTTGGCACACATCTTGGCTATTGCACAAAGGGAACAAACACCACCAGGCGGGGTGTGAACCGATTGTTGTCCGACTGTTGTTTTTGTTTGCACTTCATACTGCCGTTTACAACAGTTGGATGCATTCAGTTGGTCTGACAAATCATTCGACTCATCAGGCGATATTCTTAGAGGTATACTTTGATTCTTTTAGCCATCAAAAATGTGAGTGTTACCATCTGTCAGCAAGTTGTCTTTTCAGAAAGTAAACGTGAAGAATAAAAACTAAGTTAAAAGTTGTGAAGTTAGCCTGTGCTTTTTTCTATGAACGAATTACTCTCTGTTAACTAATCTTTCGCTGTTAACGAATCCTTTGATGTGAACTAATCTTTCGCTGTGAACGAATCACTTCCTGTGAACTAATCTTTCGCTGTGAACTAATCTTTCGCTGAGAACTAATTTTTCACTATGAACAAATCACTCTCTGCAAACTAATCTTTCAATATGAACGAATCACTCTCTGTGAACTAATCTTTCGCTGTGAACTAATCTTTCGCCGTGAACTAATCTTTCACCGTGAACTAATCTTACAGAGTAACAATTTTCCACAATTCTTCATACTGAAAAACGTCGTTGTGGTATAACAGGTGTGGAATGTTTAGACATGTTGGCACACCACGACTGATCTCCAAATGAAACAGACCTTTATCTAAAATGTTTTTTTTATTTCAAATGATAAATAAATACATGGTAAATAAATGAATTATTTGATATTTCAACAAAAACCCTTGTTTTGGCACAAACTTTGGCACAGCTATTTACATTGTGCACTAGCCTTTGGTGGAAACAGTGTGATACTTGCCAGCTAAGAGGGTCATGCCAGCCAAACAGTGAGGGTCAAGCTTTTTTGTGGTTTAAGCCCGAGTTGAAAAACACTATTAGTGACTAATGTGAAACCAACTCATCACACAGTGAGTGCCACAGTTAATAGTTATTTAAAACGACTAACAAAGACAATGTCACACGCAGGTCATCGGCAAAACACAAAGGCATTCATATCCCAATGAGTGTACAAATATTTTCAAAACAGGACTGGGCTTATGTTAAAACGACAAGGTTTAGAAGTAGAATATTGGCCTGTTCTACTCCAATACACTACGGTGAGAGTCTCACTTGATCAACTCAGATCTCTTTTACTTTGCCCATCAGGACTTTGCCGTTGCTGTAGTGGGTTGCATGTCCGTTCTCCAGATGTTTGCCGTTGGCTACCACAGAGATGGAATCGTTCGTTGAACCGTTCATTTTTAGCTTTTTTGCTGAGGGAAGACGATTGCCTTTTATATATGCCTGTATCCAAAAGTTGGAGAAGAGGAGGAAGAAGAAGATGCCATACATCCAGACCATGTGGATCCACAGGGGGACCTGATAGTCACACTTCTCCATGAAGTAGTACTGGCTGATATGAATGGAAATCACCACAAACTGTGTCTGTAAAACAGGACAAAGGGCACCTTCTAAAGAAATAGCCTCAAAAATCATCCAAATGAATCCCCTTAGTCGTCTTTAATCATGACTGGTGTCAGTGTTCAGATGTAAAATGGAGGTTAACAAAATCACAGTATGAGATTTATACGTACAAGCTGGATGGCAGTCATGTATTTCTTCCACCACAGGTATTTCTGAAAGCGAGGTCCTGCAGCCGACAGACCGTAGTAAAAGTACATGATGACGTGGACCACGGCGTTCACTAAGGCATGGAAGGAGCCCATTCCTCCAGCTGGTGAAGAAACATACAGTAAGCCCCTCAAGCATTACCAAATTGTTCAATTTATACATGTTGAGAACAGCCGATTAATGATCAAATCTTTTTTTCATTTTTTGGTGAATCTAGCTAAGAAATCTTAGCTAGAAGATTGTTCAAAAGTTGTGAAAATTATGGTGTCGAGCATATCGCACCAGGAGTCAAGGTGATGCCCCACCACCATGACCAGGGCATGACCGAGTGATGGAACACGTGAAGAAATGTGATCTGACTTTGTTTCTTCCTCAGTACAAAGAAGACCTGCAAAAAAAAAAAAAAAAAAAATCCAGAGCTCAATCTAACATGCACATGAGGTACAACTTTAAAATGAAATATTTTAGGAATATAAATGAGATAAAGATAAAAGTAATACACTGACGGTATCAAGAAGTTCAATGTATTTTGAAAAATAAAACAGCCATGCAGCTTGAATCATCTGAAAATGAAAGATGAGAGAAGCTGTGAACTCAGAAGATTGAACATTCAAAGAAAATGACAACAAATCTTGCTCTGACTTACCCTGAGGGTCATAGGGCTGTTGGAGGTGTCAACGAGGTCACATCTCCATGTATAGGTGGTTCCCCATCCTGCCATTAAGAACTATCAAATACATGTTAACACTCAGGGTCAGAAAGTATCAAGCTGCTGTCATTTTTTTTTCTTTTCTCTTTTTTCATACCTCATACACTATGTAGGCATTTAATAACACCATGCTAAGGTTGTAGACAACCATGGGTTTCTTCAAGCTGAATGGTTTGCGATTGGCCATCAAGCGAGGCCCGACATAAACAGAGAAGAAGACATAAGCCAACAGGATGGTGGTCATCTCTACAGGACTCTTCATCAGAGGATAGTCTTTGACTCTGGCATCTGAGGGAAAAGATGAATCGGAGTTTAACTGTGTAGCTCTAAATAAAAACAGTTAAAAGGGCTTCTCAATCCCCCCTCTAGGGGGTGCTGGGTAGTTCAAGTTTAGGTTTCTAAGTTTGGTGCACTGGTGTATTTCTGTTTCTATTTTCAATCAGACACATCCAAGTCCACGTTTAGTCCAGCTGGTTACACTCCACAGGCTTGCTGCTTTTTTTTTTAAGGAAAATACGTTCAAGTATTATACGAGTAAAGAATGTAAGGGATCTACACATCAGCACATCTTCACTGTAAAATATTTGATCTGATTTGTAAACCTGAGCTGTTGCAGATACAATCTGCACATATGTTCAAAACTTGGATTTAGTCACACACACACACACACAAAACTCAAAAGAATTTGTCATGCAATCAATGTTTTCTCCACCAGGTATGTGTATGTTTTAGTTAGCCTTTAAACTACTTGGAACTATGTTCTTTTGACTAAAAATGCAGTGAATCACTGCATGGAAATTTGCAGTAAAAAGTGTTTTTACTTCAACCTCCTACACATAAATATCAGTGTTAATGTTTTTATTTAATAGTTATCTTCAAACAGTCTTTTCCTTAATATAAAGACTTGTTGCTTAACACACAAAGTTTGACAAAATCTATTCATTAAACGCCAAAACAATGGACAACATTTAGACAGAGAAACTTACCAGTTCTTGATTGTAGATTATTGTGTATTTTTAAAATGTTTGAATACATGTCTCGCAGCATGGTGACTACCAGGCTTTTCTTCTTATTCTTACGAAAACCCCTGAAAAAACACAAAAGAAGGCAAGTTGTTCAGAAAACACAAAATGAAAGAGTGAACTGGAAACAAGGTGAGCTGGCTGGATTGGTGACCAAGAGATCCCTCCACCTGCTCGCCCATTCACTGAACAAATAAGAAACAGCTGTACAGCCTCATCAAACCACTCTGTGTGCCATAAACACAGAGGCTTTTAAAATGACAAAAAGAAACACAGGCTGTAATCTGTAGGAGGAGAGTAGAAGATTAAAATCTCCTGACATTAAGCTCTGGTTTCATTCAAAGATAAAGGTCTGATTTTCTACAGTAAATTTCAAATAAATATTTATATATATTTAACAAAACATGACAGAAAAAAAGGGAGGATCTGGAAATGGTTGGTTTTTGTGCTGTCATTGTAAAAACAATAAATTGTTTCTCTTGCTGACTAACAGAGCAAGTCAAACAGGTGAGGCAGAGAACTCGGCCCATAAGGCCATGTTAGCTAAAATGTTGGCCTCAAGATTAAGGCAAAAAACTACATTTTCAGCCAAACAAATGTTTTCATGCGGTGGGATCAACAACTCTTGGCCCCAAATGAAATGAAGAAAAAAAAAGGAATATCTCAAAAATGTTCACCACCACCTCCACCATCCACCTACCACACACCACAAAGACGTGAACTCACAACTGAAATCCAAAGCAATTTTCACAGCATCAGAACAGATAAAAAGCATAACCAGCCAAACTTCCCAAACTAATTTAATATCTGCTGCTTCCACACCTGCTGCTACTGATACTGCTGCTACTGCTGTTACTGCTGCTGCTGCTTCATGTGAGGGAAGTGACTCACCTGCTGAGCACAAGTCCTCAGCACTCCCTCCTGCACAGCCAACCCTGAAGATCCCAGAGCAGATGAGCAGCACCACTTTGATTGATGTGTTGAAGGCAGGTAATCCAAAGAAGAGTGTCTCTCCACAAATGGTTGATTCAAAATCCAACAAGAGCTGAAAGGTGGAAAAAGGGACAGAAAACAAGAGGAGAGAAAGAAAAAGAGAGCGATAGGGGTGAGTAAAAGTAAGAGCCCCACTGTGATAACTATGATGGTAGATAACTCAACGCAATTTAAGTCTGAGGACTCTTTCACAGACCTTGCTGGTTTCAGGACCACACCCTGTTTCAATGCTAAGCTCCACCTATTCAACAGCACTTGGTCTGTTTGTGATTGGCCTGTCTCATCAATGGTAATGGAGGGGACGGGGTCACAGAGTCTGTCGATGTTCGAAGAAACCGACAATGATGTGAATGGTTCCATTGTTAGAAAGCAAAAGAGCAATTAATGCATAGGGACTTCTGAAAGGAGTAACAGCCACGGATATAGTGTGACAGAAAACAACACTAAAATGTTTTTTATTAAAAAAATGTTTACAATGCAGCCATCAAGGCATTCAGAGAGTATTTGGGCCAAAGGTAAAATCAGATACATCCACTAACCTTGTATGTCGCCCATCCCTTCCTGTTTAGTGGCACAGAAGCTGGTTCCTGTCCAGCAACCTGCTGGTTCTACCTGTTCTCCAGGCCCTAAAGGGTGTGAGGCCTGCATGATGCCTGATGTTTCCTCCTCAACACATTTGTTACTCTCAAACGTGGGCTGGAATGAAAAGAATCTCTGCGCGAGCGAGCCGGGGAAGAGGAGGAGGAGGAGGGGCAACATCACGCCAGTTTGTTTGGCAGAGAACACATGACACCTCTGTCATGAGGAGCACAAATTGCACCAATTTCAAAAATGCTAAACCTGACGTATCATGTGCCTGGCTTCTAATTCAATATGATCTTACATGTTTTTTGGGTCAGATTTTTTGCATTTATTGTTTAATCCTTACATTGTACATATGCTGTTTTATATTATTTAAAAATATTTTGGTCCAATTCCTTGGACATAAATCAAACTATGCCAAAAGGGACTAAGACAACATGGATTTTTGTCTGTTATTTTTATTGTTATTTATGTTTTTTTGTTTATGATTTTTTGTTAGAACTAAAACACTTAGTAATTTAATATTTCTTATATATATATATATATATATATATATATTCTGTTAAAGTAACAAGTCCAAAGAACAGAGAGGCAAAGTTTTGACTACGACGCCAGAGTTCAAGTAAAACAACGAAATAATTTGATCTTTATGGGACTGTCTGGAATTGTATTACTTAATTTATTTAAGAATACTGACATTATGTTATAAATAGGATTTTTTAAAATTTTATCTAAAATAATGTGGGGGTAAATATGAGGGAAGTTAGGTTATCAAAAATAAAATATGAAATTCTAAATAAAAATATAATATAAATAACTGGCTGCCATTTTGACAGTGACATCATTCATGGCTACCTGATGGCCACTTAAAGGTGTGGCAGTCCCTCTAGCCTGAAGTGACTATTCTTCAACAGCTGGCAGGTGAAACTGAACTTGTAAATACAGTATCAACAGCACACGAGTTTCACTGATCCTTTGACAGAGGAGAAGGAGGAAAATGCAATGGTTTGAAGGGTTTTAAACCTACAGAGAAGTTGCCTGGAAACATATATTTAAACACTACTGTATTTACAGTGTGCAGTCATTAACCATTGTGATAATCACATACTCTATCACCCAGAAGTAGTTAGCAGAGTAAGAAAGTCACAGGCCAATGGGCATAAACCAGCTCCAGAAAGACACAGACAAAAGGAATGACTCAGACCGATTACAATTTGCTTTCCAAACACTTTTTGTGTCTCTTAGTGCTAACTGGTGTAAGGTCTAAGAAATGCAACACACGAATTTTAACTGTGAATGTGAAAGATTGTGTCATTGAAGTCTCATTCCTATAACAGTAGTCCAAGTCTAGGGTCTTGTGGCTGTGTAACATTCAGTTCAGTCCAGAAAACCGGACCGACAGCAGAACAACATTACATTGTCTACGGTCAATATATTTAAACAAAGCAATGGTCAGTGCTCAAGACATACCTGAGGGTTTTACTTACTGTGTGACAGGGCAGATGCCTGTGGATGTGAAAAACCCCCAGACATGGCTGCTGCAAATTAACAAATGAATGGTGTCAGTCACTGAGGCTAAATGTTGAGATGAGACATGCAGGGCCACTCACGCTGTAGTTAAAATTCTAAAATTACGATTTCCACTAACCATGACATTTTGGACGTCTGCGTCACCTGGAATGAGACGCAACTAGATTCCATATGTGTTCAGTAATGATGAGTAAGTCATGCTAGAAAAACCATGAGGTAAGTGTTTCATAATGGATTCTAACAGAATTTAAATGAACCAGATATGCAGGTAAACAAGACAGATCACTGTGGTGCCTCCAACAGCTTTTAGAGGTTTTATCCTTATATATTTCAAGTATTGAACTGTGTACTATTTTATTTTATTAGAGGTTCTTTTTAACATTCAAAACTGACTAATTTATTCATTAGACACAAAAACTTTGATTGTGATCGAGTTACATGCATTGGTCTAGTTTTATCTTCTCACAAAATTGAAAGAACATTTTAAGAACATTTTCTTGATTTTAGTCCTCTGATTACCAAAAAGGTCATGACCTAGTGATGAAAACGTCCTACAGATTTCTACAAACAAAGGATTGTCTGATGGACTCTGATGGAGTGCGGTGAAGTGTTAATACTTTTCTGGAGGGTATATAAAATTAGTTCATATATATACATAAGAAAAAATGTATATATTTATATATGTATATATATTTATTTACTTATTCTTATGTATTTTTTTTTATCAACAAGTCCAAATGGCACAGTTGACTCACTGTTTCTCTCAGAGGCGAACACGCGTTGACTTATTGAGAAACATCGCCCTCCTGTGGCAACAAAGTCAAATAGCTATAAAACAATATAATGATAATAAATAATGAAAAAGATCGTCAGTTATGTTATTCTGAATATAAAATTGAAACAAAACTCATACTAATATGCATAGTATCAATGTTCAGTTTTGCAGAGTCTGATTTTATTACTAGTCCCAAATTAAGCACTGTTTATTTTGACATCATGAAATATGAAACAAACAGATAAATCTGATATAACGCTCTTTTTATTTTTTTACTTAAGCAAGCTCTTCCCATAATGCACAGTAAAGTGTTTGTGCTCTAAGACTAGAGTAGGACATCTATATTTATCCACTGTGCATTGGATTAAAAGTGTGACACTTCTGGCCTCAGGAGGAACACTTACATAAACTTTGACAGAGGACACACCTATATAACCTGTCCTGGGGAAACTGACAGTATATACCTCCCATGATTCACTGAGCTTTTTGTGCTCAGATGGCCTCCCTTTATAGACGAACAAAAGAATAACCTTTCACATATCTCCTAATCTGAATATTGTTTAAGAGTAGAGTAACAGAATGCTATGAAGATACATTTAAACTCAAGAATGGATTATTGTTTATTAACCGTTGTTTTTAAGTTTATCACTGTGGATTTAATATCTGTGTCATTGCAGGAGGAGTTAGCCCGAAGTATTTAAACTATTTTAGAATAGATGCCCCACCCATCAAAGGTTGGGAAACCCCAGACACATTTCAGCCCTATTTGTACAAACACACACATATCTATCTATCTATCTATCTATCTATCTATCTATCTATCTATCTATCTATCTATCTATCTATCTATCTATCTATCTATCTATCTATTTATCTATCTATCTATCTATCTATCTATCTATCTATCTATCTATCTATACTTAAAATAAGCTTTGCAGGATTTATAATAATTTTTAATTTCTCTTGCTAGTGTTTGTTTATTTTTTATTGCCGTAACACCGTTGTGTTGAATGTTTGGTTTTGCATGAATTGTGCTCTATTTCATTGACACTGCATTTGTAATATTAATAAATTACACATTCTGTTGGGAGTTTTCATATTTTCTTTATTTATTTTGCCGTTTTCTTGAGCTTAATATGTATGTCTTTAATTCTCATGTTGTTAAAGTTATCCCATGAGCTGTTACAACTGCCATTGTTTCGTAAACACTCAGTGAAAAAATGAAAAACAGTGATTGTGACAGGATAGGACTTGTAAATCAGTAACGCAGTTGGGATCGCTTTATCTGCTTCTGTTCGTCGTCATGCAACCGACCTCTCATGTCGTTCAGTAGCTGTGAGTCAGTCGTCTAACTCCACCTCCCGGGGGTGTTCGTAGATCACAAATCTAGCGCGCTCTATAAGCGCAAATGGAATGGAAGGTGGAACAACAAGTAGGCGTCCTCTGTGCGACTGAGCGCCCGATTTCCACCGTGCAATTGCTGCCTTTTGGGAAACAAAGTAGACGAGAAGAGAGTGTTGGAGCAGAGGGCTGCAGCGGTGCTTCGCTCTGATAGGATTTCCTCGCAGCACAGAGGGCAGTTTCCGCCGTTTTCACAGTGTCTTTGTGGGGAACCACCACACCTGGTTTTAACTGTATTCTGACTAATTGACTTGCGGTCAATTATCGGGAGCGCATACCTGTGGACCTCTTTAATGTAGGACAACTTCTGATGAAGGTAGGCTGCACTGTTTTATGCCTTGTACCATACAACGGCTATATTTCTGTTGTATGAGATAAATAAACTACTTTAAACATACATGTATTGTTTTGTTTTTTAAATTTATTATTTAAAAGAAACTCACAACTTTTAATCTCTTGTGCCGTTGCAGCAGAAAACACCCCTGTTATATATTCTGGTATCAGAGTCTGTTGCGTAATAAAGTGTGTGTCAATGTCTTGACTACCCCTCCATGTGACTCACAACATTAACGCCTCCATCAAAAGATATCGTCATTATATAAGTCTCTGCTGTGACTGGCAATGTGGTTTGTGCTCACTTATTTATTTATATATTTTTGTTGCTTCATTTCCCCCTAAAACTGTTGAATTCCAGTTAATAAAAGAAAAACAATTTGTGTTCCTGGGGATAACATTCAAATTTCAGCTCAGCACTCTCTACATTGTACCAAAGGTACCATGTATTGTATCCTCACTGTCCCTCACATGTCCATGTTAAATAAGACTATTTTGATTTCTGATCTGAGACAGAAAATGTTTTATTCTCTTCTTCTCCATCTTCAGGTGTAGGCACCTGGCCCCTTCTTTCTATAGGTGGTGCAGTATTTCTACCAAGAACTATACAAATTACTCCCTTAGAAGGGAATAAATCTATACACCATACAGGGTACCATCCCTACTGTTATATAACTTCCTGTTTAGTACATTACACCAAGTTAAAGCAAATTAAAGACAAATTAAAGTAATACTGCTGAAAACACACTGTAACACAATGGCTGTTAGCCTAAAATAGCTAAAAAGGTAGTAGTCACCCCCCCTCCCACCCCCAGTAAATTAAATGGAGCTGGTAATTTCTTTAAATAAGCACAGCTAGTAAAATCCAGTGCTCCAATTTACTAAACCACGAGGGTTGGTTAGTATTTTTTTTTTAAAAAAGCTCAAAAACAGTATATAGCATTTGGTAATTATTTATGTAAGAATTAATTCCATAAATGTGTGTGTGTAAACCTAGTTCCTGAATCCTAAATTGTTTACTTAAATTCAGGAAAACATACCACTAGAATAATTTTGAACCCTCTGCATTGCTTACAGCAGGGATAACAGTAAATAACTTTAGTCTTATGGATATAAATAAAATCTCTCTCTCTTTTTTTTTTACAGCTGCCCTTTGTCACTTCTGGTAAACTTTGCTCTTCCTGGGATCAAAACTGACGCTGAGCTGATCCAAAGAGGTCAGACACTCTCTGACCCAGATCCTCTGCAAGAGGACATGGAGGTTCTGCGGAGGTCTTCTGTGTTTGCAGCAGAGGTCCTGGATGTGTTTGACCGCTCACTGACTGAGAAGGACCTAGTGTCCCAGTCCAAAGCCCTTTGCAGAGACTACATTCTGTTCAGACTCAACCAGAATGGGCTGGGATGGTCCAAATCTGAGCTCAACCTCGTGCCCTCCAATGCAGCACTCGCTGAAGTGTCTTCAGTTCTTCTGTGCCTCGGTAAGAGGAAACCACAAACATCTGTGAAGTCATCATCCTTCTAGCAGTTTTTGACCTTGACTTAATGGAAGAATGGGAAGAATAAATTTAGCAAAATGAAGCTTCTATAGTGAATAAAATATTTCCTTTAAATACAATCTGTGTCTACGCAGGCGACGAGCTGGAGTGTTTACAGCCATCTTTGTACAGGAACGTGGCACGGCAGCTCAGCATCTCTGTTGCCATGGAGAACATGGTCTCCGATGCGTTCATTGGTGTGTCAACAGAAATCTTTGCTACAGGTACACTCTGAATCTGAATCTGTGGGTGACAATGGCAGATTTAAGAATTATTTTAAATGTGGGTCTCCAGCTAAGGGGAATCTGTCGCTCTAACAGCTCCGATGTTAGACTTCTCTTTGTGACGCTGGTCGCTGGTGAAAGCAGCCACTGTTCCAGCTTTTCAGTGGCAGCTGGCAGAGAGGTGGTTTCAGTTGGAGTGAGTGGGTGCAACGCAGAAACACAACAACATAGGCCTGTATCTAAACAATTAGATAATCTTCTGGTAGCTTTTGCTTAGGGTTAGATTGGAATTCTTACCCCAAAACTTTATTTCTCAAGGGAAAGTTTCTCCATATATTATAGTATTCAAAATTGATTAATGGACAAAAAACACAGGTTATATGCTGAGTAGGCCGGTAGATAAAACAATAAAAGAATACATTAAATGATCCTGAGAAGAAATTGCATATTTATCACCTCATGTGATCTGAGTCTTCTTTTCCCAGCACAGTCCAAAAGCATTTACTGTAGGCTACTATTATCTGCCCTGCCCTGTGTGTGTTTGTGTGTGCGTGTTTAGCCTCAGATGTACCTAATGATATCAGAGCACAGCAGGAAAAAACTTTAGCTGCAGACACTCAGTCCTGCTAAATACTGGTCTATACTCCTACCCAAAATAATACAGAATTTATCAGATAAACGTGAGTTTTAAAGAGGTGTTGTTGATGTTTGTTTGCTGACAAATCAAATGGACCAATCACAACCAGAAAACAGTACAAATATCTACTCACTGGTATTTGTTTGTACTTTGATTTAGTTTTACTGACTTCCATTTAGTCTTACCTCATTCGCACCCACACTAAAATAGGGCATAATGTTTTTTTAAAAGTAACACTTTCAATGAAAGACGACAACAGAATATCAGCCTCTCTGCCTTTTATTGCTGCTTTCACTGACAATGACTGTAAAAGGGAAGAACATTCCTTCAGTATTTGTGTTTACAGTGACGCCAGTGGAACAGCCTTCCAATGCACACGTTTGTACATTGAAACAGCTCTATAAAATAATTAAACACTATAAAATACCAGGCTCCTCGCCCTCGAACGGGGAACTAAACCACTCAGTCATTTTGAAATGCATGCAGTCCCATTAAAATAAAAACAAACAAACAGGGAGCTCTTGAGAGATAAAGGAGGTGAGGGAAACCCTCACAGGAGGCTTTCCTCACTGTAACCAAGCTGCGAACATGTTTGAACAACGTCTCACATGAATTAGTTTGAAGGGAAGGCCCAGGCCTTAAATGCGATGGAATTTAAAAACCCTTATCTTGGTCTTAGAATGGATTGGGGAGATTTTTGTCTTCCTGTGACCTTAACTGGTTTGGTGTTCCTGTTGTTGTCCGTTGCCTAGACAACTCTTCAATTTTGTCTCTTTTGTCCAAAGCAGCAATGACAGACATCTAATCCAACCAAAGAAAAAGATCCACTTTATTTCCTCTGTATTGAGTAGATTCAATGATCTCAGGGAACTTACATTTGGCACAGCGGTGGGAAAGATTAAACCAGACCAGTTAACCAAATTTTCACGTATGTTCCCCTTATAAAAGTGTGTTTTGAGGCTATAAGTTTTTGGAAACAGCGTGGGATTTTTGCTGAAGGTTGCTGAACCCAGGCTGTGTCTTGTGGGAGCAGTTGGTAATTGGACATAAATAGAAAAAAATGTAATGTTGGTTTGTTTTTCTTGCTGTCGGGAAATTGTTTTATATCCCTTTTTAGCTTCACGGAATCTTTTCATCCTGTCCTTAAAATCTCAGCTTTGGTACAAGAACCATAAAAGGAGTCAAACCAAGTGTGTATCATAAGTATATATTTTTAGAAGTGGTTGGCTGTTCATCAGTGCTGTGGTCCCTATCAGTAGAATCTTTCTGGTTGGCCTCTTCTTCATCATGTTATTGCTTGCCTCCCACTGCTGTTACTTTTTCTTTCCGTCCTCCCCTCCTCCAGCTTTATCCTGGACAATCTTCTCTCTATTTCTGGCCCGTGTCTCAATAAGGAGTTAGACGTGACGTACTCCTACAGCTACAACGGACATTTATCTCATTTAAGCTCGCCCAGATCTCTATCTTCTTATAGCCCACAGTGGGACGCCATGGCTCTGCTTTGAATTACAGCCATGGCCATGCATGCTGAACCCGAAGGAGGTTAATGCCATTAGACCCTGCACTGTATCAGTGACAGTTGTTATAACAATCCCCACTGGCCTGGAAACTGCATAAGTGAATGGATTTTCCTCATTATCAGATTGGATTGTGTAAGCAGACAAGGAACGGCCACTTTTCCCTCTTTTCATTCTCATTCCTGCCTAATTAGCAATTGCCGTAAACATTTTCTTACTTTTTTTTTTCACCTGTGCATGTCTGAAACTGCGTCAAGAGTTTTCAAAAGCTCACGACACCAAGGGCAACTGAGCCGCGCCCTGTTTAATTTACAGCTGGTATGTGACGCAGTAAGACCTGTTATCAACATCATTAGGACAAATGCACCGGGCGTATTGACTTGCACCACATATTGACAGTTTATTTCAGTGCAAGGTCCACAGGCTGCCCCACATGACACATGTCAGGTCACAGAATATATAACAGACACAGAGGAAGTGGGTGATAATCCTGTTCCCTGCCCTGGGAAAGTAATGATGTTGTTAGGGTAAACATGAAAAATTGTTTTCTGACCTCATTGATCTCCAGGAAAGTCTGTGCACATTAGTTAAAGTTGATTTCAGTGGATGATGCAGTGACTTTAAACCTTTTTCACCACTTCTGCTGTTGTTTTTAATTCTAGTTAAAAATAAAACAATTTTATAAAATATTAAAAAATCATATCTGAATTTTCTGAAACCTGTATAAAATATAATGTGTGCTGTTGTTTTTAACCACCTTTGCATTTGTCACTATGGACAAATCCACTTTTTAAAACTTTAAATAAATGATCCATATTTTTAATTAAATGTAAGTATCTAAATATTTACAAATACAAAGCAGGACTGTTGTAGCTTTGACAATAGAGGTTCGAGGATTTAAAGGTCACCAGTTCTTCCTCTCAACATCCACAGTGCCCTTAGGCCAGACACTTAACCTCCATACATCCTCTGCAAAAAGAAGTAAAAAAAGGCTAACAAAGATACAGTAAGTTAAAGACTGTAGTGTGGATGAAGCCCAAGGCTGCGAAACACATGATCTTCATCATGTGTTTGTCTGATGAACTGCTCTGTTATTCTTTCCATAATTGTAGTGTTTGTTACTTGATATTTTTTATATTTTCATACTGTTTTTTATCTATTATACAACTCTATTTTCACCTTGTAAAACCTGGACATGGTAACACTTGGGAATTTTTGAGTCTGTTGATCAAAAGTCACATTGTCAAAGTCAATTTAAAGCATTTAATGACAATAATAGGAATGTTTATTTTTATATCTTTAGTTCTTTGGTGGTATCCCTTAGATCTCTGTCAGATCTACTGGATGATGTTTCTCCAAAGGATTGTCTAAAATGAATGCCAGAGTATTATTTCTCCTCCTGCAGGTATAACCTGGGGTAAAGTTGTGGCCATGTATGCTGTAGCTGCAGCCCTGGCCGTGGACTGTGTCAGACAAGACCGGGCGGCCAACGTCAACATCATAGTGCAGAGTCTGGGACAGTTTGTCCGCAAGTTCCTGGTTTCCTGGCTGAAGAGACGGGGAGGATGGGTGAGTGACTGCTGCTGCACACACGGGGGAGCTGTGCATGAGATACAATGGAGGGGGAAGTGATGAGCTTCTCTTTGTTTTTTTTTTTAGAGGAACACAGAACATTAAATCGGCACTGGTGTGTCAGAAAACACGGAATACATTACTGATTGTCTGAAATATATCATTGTGTGATTTCAGAACAATGTTATTAGAATGTTAATTCTAATTTTATTATGAAATTAGAACCTGGGCCAATCCCTGCAGAGAGCAAGGCCTAATAATCAAGGAAAAATAAAACCAACTTGACCAGTTCAGAGAGAATTAATTTATCCTGTTTTTTCCAGGGTGATATCACGAAATGTGTGGTAAAGAAAGATTTTCCCCCAGAACAGAACTGGTTAACCTCGGTCATGGAGTCCCTGAAGTACTTTCTTACCACAGTGTACGTCTACATCATGAAAGAGCCATGAACGACCCACGAGACACGGATGTCATCATTTGGTGGCTTTGCTGAACAATTCTATTCATTCATCTGGAGACTTTATGATGGAGACGGAGACGGATGGATGTGTTACCAAAGTGCCATTAGTATCATGGTCGTACACCTGGGGATCAGATAAGCCTGTTGTTGGTGATTGCTCTTCATCCAAAGAGTAGTCATCCTGAGGTAAACAAGGTGAACAACCATGTGTCTCACTCCAACACTTCTGCACCAGTGGCGTGAACCAGGTTTTTCTTGTCACGTGTGGAGATGAACCATAACATTCAACAGACGTCACATGTTCATGTCATGTTTGTGCCAGGCTAAACCCCTGAAAGAGGAGAGAGACTATTTTTGTAATTATTATTAAATTAATGAATGCTCAGCTGGCTGGGTTAACGAGTCCAGTGTCCACATCCAGGCAATAATCTCTGCACGTTTGCAGTGTCTCTCTTCTGCTCCGCGTAAACTTTGTGACTTTACTTAACTCTGCTGCATTTTGAGATTGATCATTTAATGTTAGGTCACACTTTGACCATCACTGACCAAAGAACGTAAAGACGGACAGAATGATACATACTGAAATCACACATTTCAGTGTTTCAGTGTGTGTACATACTGAAATCACACATTTCAGTGTGCACCAAACTCCTTTTAAACTGTACATAGTTTATTTATGGTTTTACTTTATTTTTTTAATGTTGAAACTTGAATACTGCACTATGAAGAGCATGTACTACAGCTCTTGGGGATGATTGCATGATATGCCTGATGGGTGATGCTTTACAAGTGTTATTAATGTGTCTGAAAGATTTTTTTAAATTCAAAATAAACTTCTTCATAGTCTTCATCACTGATTTGTTGTTGTTTAGGTTTTAATGTCTTTATCTTTAAGATTTAAGGTCAGAACCTAGACTTAAAAATACATTTTTTAATGAACTTCTTTATTACATTTCCATACGAATGAATAAAAATGAAAAGGATATGCTCTAACTTATAAAAGTATTGTAGCTTTACATTACTATTGTCCAGACCACAAAAAAAGGACAGACTGCAGTGAAGACAAAAAGACCTCATAGTTCTTTTTTTAATTAGTGCAGTAAAATCTTTACGTTCAAAACATAAAGACCTTGAATAACCACAGGTAAAGTAACGTGTATTTTACTAATCACTTGCAGCAATAAGTAGTTGAACAGCGGAGTAGCTCTCCATGCAAACTAATAGGTGATACATTACATTAGAAATGTTATTTTATTTAAATGCATTTCCCTCTTTCTGTTCAATATCCAAAAATGAGTGGCTTAAGATGAAACATCACTCATAATTGTGACACTTGGACTCCAGACTCCATTCAACAGACGTTAATGTAAAGTATTATGTTGATCAGCAGCGTGTATATCGTCAGCATCAAACAGGGTTGTTCATCAAACCTCTCGGTTTCACCATAAATAACTGCCAGGTAGATTGTCGGTTCACTATGATCGACGGTAAGTGATGTGCAAGTGCTGTGTCATCAGTGGCTGGTTGTCTGTTGCCATGGAAACCGTCTGCTCAAGCCTACCATCTGGCCTCAGCTGAAACACTCTGGAAATCTGGAATGGGGGTAAAAAAAAAAGAGCAGCCAGGATGTGACTTCATGAATTATAAAAAAGTCAGAAAATGTCAGACACAAAAGATAAAGTCTGGAGAATGAAAGACAAACCTGCTGCACATGTGGCTCCTTGGCAAAAGAAATCCTGGCCAAAGCGTGAGTCTGCAGGTTCAGCTGCTTCCCTGTCAGTTCACCCTCCTCAATCTCAACCAGACCTGCACCAGAACATGCCATTAGGTTGCGAGTTAAATCTCTCAGCTGTTAATTTGAAAGTCGACATTGACTTACATTAGCTAATAGTGTTGAGTCAATTGACAAGTAATTGTCAAATGTGTCTTAACAATCTAATCATCCTTATTTTAAGCACTGTCATCTGTGCAAAAGTAGACTCCTGTGCCAAATTTAATCATCTGGGTTTGCATGTTTAAACACCTCTGAGCATTCCACTGTGTAATTACAGCAGTAATTTATTTATTCAGCTGACAACAAGTGATGTCTCCCTATATGATACAGTGAGTGGATTATTAACTTGAGGACATTTATTTCATAAAACATGTCCTGTGATTGTGAGCTGTCAGTTTCACAAAAGTGCCAAATAAGTAACTGTAAGCAATAAGCACAGCTGTGAAATTATATTTAGAAATTAAAATTAAATACTAAAAATGACCTCTGCTCAAATTATTTTTCTTCTGTTTTGCCAGCCTACTCTTCTACCCACTCTTGTCCCTCTCCTCCCAAATATAAATCTGTCTGACACACACACACACACCTACACTAAAAAAACCACCAGGTTATTTCTTAAAATTACAGACAATATCCCATGTTTATGTATGTGGTTCCATAGTGATCTGGACATAACGTACCAGAGTTTTGGGCAATGATAAATGCAACCCTGTTGGTCCCAGACTGCAGTCTGATGAAGCCACACTCCCTGTGCAGAGGCTTTTTAGATTCTGCATGGAAGGCGTTGAACCTGCCAACACACAAATAGTCAGTGTTTATTTATACAAACAAGTCTGCTGACATACTGCAGTTACATCAAAGCAACACCGGGCAACACTTTTGCCCTTAAAGAACATGTTCAGTCTGCACACTGAACATGCCTGTTGGTGCACTGAGTGACATCCGTGGGTGGAGATGAACACCGGCCAATAGACAGTGGCTCTGAAAACAATCACAATCAGACAGGCCCAACAAGTTCTACAGCGGTGTCAAAATGTCAAAGAAGAAGTCACAGAAGTTATTCAAAACCAGAGCAGCAGAATGTGAGGTGAAACGGACATGAAGTTGATGACTGGCTGTCCCACGTGGCTGAAGTTCAGGGTCTCTGTATAGCGGAAAGGCTTTATTGTCGGGAAACATCCCTCACCAGGCTCATCTGACTCCCATGTTCCCAGAAGCCACTCTAGAGGCAGGAGGACTGGGTTCAAACCTGTCAATAATAGAAATGTGTTTGATGTGTTAAAAATAGGGAAATGTGTAATGTTAAACTTTTTATAATCCCTTTGTGACATCATTTATAGTAGATGTTATATAAAATAAATTCGGACGTTGGTTAACAATTTTTAATTTGTTAACATTTCTATTTCTATATGCATTTCTTATGTTACCAGGGTCGTGTTTATTTTATGTTACAAGTTTGTATAACTCTTTAGTGTCTATTCTAATATTGAACCACTAGAGAGTGCTAATGCTTCAATATATTTCATAGATACCCAGAAGAAGGAGGAAACAGGCGTTTTGTTGGACGCGTGGTCTGGTAGGAGAATACGTCTTTATGTCTTTATAAGTGGTTTATTTTATGTGCTTTCAGTTTCACGAAAAAAAGAAAGGTCACCACCTTGACAACTACAGCGCAGGCGCTAAGTGTAGTTTTGTTTTTAAATAAAGGCTAAGGAATGTGCAAGCGTCAACGATAAACAATAAGCAAAGTAAAAATAACAAACAAAATCTTTCTCCTTTGTTATTCAAACTGTGTACAGTCAAATGTTGCATTTTTTAAAAGGAAACTTTCACAAACTTTAGATTAAATACAAACAAACAAAAGCACGTGTTCGTTACCACTGCAATATAATAATAATAATAATAAAAACGCTTGACTTATTCACCTGTTTTATCGGCAGGATTCTCCATTATTGCTGTGGACAGCGGAGTTGTGAGTGTAGTTCCAAGTTTTAATGTCACTAAAATTAGACAACGGCGTGACGTTTGTTACGTTAAAAAGGCATTGTGGGGAATGTAGTTATGACACTGTGTGGCCTGCTGCGTCGTTTTGAATATTTGAATGTTTATATATAAGTCTGCGAACATAAAGTGTTTTTCTTTAAACCACCTTTAATATTTGTGCCAGGCATCGAGGCCTGGCTGCTAACTGAAATAAACACACTTTATCACCATGTTCACTTCAGCATGGAATATATAACAACACATTTTTTATTTACTGCAAAATCCAACCAAGATATACAATTCAAACAGAGGTCATGGTTAAATGCTACTCATGAAAGCAGTTTTTGATTAAATATTTGCTCTTGAAGGCACACCTGTAATACATAAATGTACAAATTGCTTCAGGTGCTCCACATGTTGAGGGATAACAGCTCTGCTTTAGGCTTTGCTCTTTTTGCAGTTCTTGAGAGCATCAGCCAGGGCATGCAGTGCCATGTCAGCATTCGTCTTCTCACAGTTGTATCCCATCAATCCAATCCTCATTACCTGATGAAAAGAGCAGTGCACTGCATCAGAGCCCACAGGGAGTAAGCAGATGCCTCCAAACATTCCAGTTTTCAGTTAGGGAGTTTAACCCAATAGAATACTGTAAAAAATGTTTACCACACTGACAACATGCAACATTTAACTTAAAACAAATGAACTTACGAGGTGTTTGAACAACAACTGTTGATCTATAAATGTTGATATGTAATGTAGCACGAAGAGATAATTAAATAGAAATTCTGATAACAGAGTGGAATAGTGACAGTTTAAATGGTTACTTTACTGAACACTACTGCAATTGCTATGTTCCAAAATATGTTGTTTGCAGGGTTTTTATTTTCATTTCTATAGTTGTGTGTTACTTTATGTTTACCTGTTATATCCTATATTACACACCTTAATCAATCTATTTTCTTTTTCATTCCACAGACATTAAAATGAATGCTCATCTCACCATGCCGATGGAGGGTCCCAGGCCTCCCGTCATCTCCATGTTGTGATTTTTCATGATGTAAACCAAGAGCTCCCGCCAGTCATAGCCCTCAGGGATGGCGATGGTAGTGACCGAGGGAAGCCTCAAATCCTGCATGATGAAACACACAGTCAGAAATGCCACTGTAGCCCAAAATGACTGGCTGATTACGTCAACAGTGCAACTTGGCTTCACCTGAAGGTAAATTATTTTCACTTTATGCTCAGTGCTGTTATGTGTCTTTTTATATGCCATGTTGAATTTACGGTTCCTCCAAAAGGTCGGAATATGTTAAGTTATTTTTTAATGGAACACAAACCCTGTAGTTTTTAGTTGTGAGTGTGTTTCACCTTATTAGGAATGAATAACTTGAGGCCCAGGTCTTCTAACCCTCTGTACAGGTAGGCAGCCACCTCTTTGTGTTTCCTCCAGGACTCCTCCAGCCCCTAGAGGGAGACAATGTGACGCAATGAGTAAGATGAGAGCTTTCCAAACTCCGGTAAGTACAATACACTAGGAATGAATATTTTACCCTCTCTGCAACAATTGCCAGGCTCTCTCTCAGAGCAAAGAATCCAGACACAGGACCAGTGTGGTGGTATCTGAAACACAGAATGCATTGAAAAGAATTAAACCAACAAGAAGGACTGATGAAATGTATTTGTTTTTTTTCTCCAAATTGAATAAACAGCTGTGTGCAGCAGACTCACACTCGTGCTGGTTTGCCATCACAACCCCAGTAGTTGGACAGATGTGTCATGTCAAAAAGGTAGGAAACAGGTTTCGTTTTTCTGTTAAACATCTTTTGGCTGCGAGGTAAATGAAAAAGGGACATCGGCAGGAAGTGACTTAACTTATTCCTTACATTTTTCTGCATATCTTGCATATTTATCATACAATATTTTGGAAGAATTACCATGCTCTCTCATTAAAGGAGATGGGAGCTGTGCCAGGAGGTGCATTTAGAGCCTTCTGAGACCCAGTGTACAGGATGTCAATATCTGGGAGAGCAAAGGGAAGATTATATTACGCACAAGTGCAAGGTCCAGCAGGGGGGTGGGCTTAATCTTTCATCCCTTTCTTACTTTGTTTGTCCATAAAAATCGGTGCTGCTCCAAGTGAAGCTACTGTGTCCACCAGAAAGAGGCAGTTATGTCTGCAGGGGGTGTGGCAGGAAGCAGAGACAAAGTGTGACTTTATGATCTGAAACAATGCTTGATTGACAGGTTGATAAGGAGAGAAGAACAGACAGAATTAGCCTCACTTTCTGCAGATGTCTCCAATGCCATCCACGGGGTGGCAGAGTCCGGCAGAGGACTCCCCGTGTGTGAGGAAAAACAGAACAGGCTTGTGTTTCTCCACAGCCTGTCATCAAAGTACAGATACAAAAACAACCAGTATAGACTTTTAATATGCCTCCTTTAGTTGTACACTACAGTACAGTACAGTAAAGTAGTATTTTACCTGTTGAATTTCTTCATTAGTGAAATATTCACCTGGAGTTTTTACCATTCTGTGAACATTGGCACCTGAAAAAAAAAACAACAAAAAAACAAAAACAAAACAAAATACCTATTATTATTCTTTTTCTGCTAACGCACAACCAGGCTGACAATACACAATATTACACAATCTTACCCATTCTCTCTGCGATTTCTGCCACGCGCTCTCCCCAGATACCGTTAATCGCGACAAGCACACTCTCTCCAGGTTCCACCGTGTTGAACACCGCGCACTCCATGGCCGCGTGGCCGGAGCCGCTCATGGCTATGGTCATGTTGTTCTCCGTCTGAAAGACGTACTGGATGCCTCTCTTGATATCGTTCATGATCTGAAGAAAAAGAATGAGACGTGAAAAGTTGCTTGTCCGTTTCATCACCGGGGGAACCTGCAGGATGCGCCCGGCTGCATCCACGCGCTCTGACGCACGACTCTCGATCTGTGAGTGCGTTCCATACATATCTGCGCCCAATGTTTTATGTGAAATTTGAAATTTTTGAATATCGTTTTATTCGACCAGTATTTTTGTTGTTGTTGCTGGTCCTCACACACAATATAAACCTCGTAGTTCCCTAAGGTTAAAATGCAGTAGTAAACTATTTAAAAGTTTAAATATGAAGTAAAGCTGCTCTGCCTCAGTCATACTTGTTTACCTCATACATTTCTGGGTGCAGGTGACCAATGATGGGCTTGGAACCTGCAGCCAAAATACGTGGAGGAACATTTGAAGGTCCTGGTCCAAACAGGTATCGCAGTGGAGCTTCCAGCGGCCTCAGCATGCACGCAGGTGGAGGGATGGTGACCGAGGACGATGAGCGGACCTGGGTCAAGAGCAGGGGCGCGCTCCGACTTTCCAGGGCCGCTGCCGCCTGTTGGGCCAGCAGGGCACTCCGGCTGAAGATAGACCGTTGCATATCTTCTGACGTCTGGCTTTCAGACTAGTTTGCACCGAGTGAAGTGAACTGAGATAAATGAGAAGTCTCAGCCTGACGGTGAGTTATGGAAGGTTTAAAACAGGCCTTTGACCTTGATGGCTTTAGCCTTGACCTTGCCATATTTGGTTATAATTAAATTAAAACTTGACTGAAGGAAAATGAAACTGATTTTATTGCCTTAGTTTCTGATATACTGATATATGATTATATTATACTTATTACTGATCATTGTGTACTTTTTTTCACATTTGTTCGAAATGTAAAAGAAAAAGTGATTTATTTTTAAACATTTTTTCTTTTAAATATCTGTTGTTGCATTTTCAGTGTAAATCCAACAGGACTGCTTCATTTCCACAGAGCCTGACTTGAGTGCGCCCTTAACAGCTTGAATCCAGTTCAGGTTAGTTTGCAGGTGGTTTGTTGATTTTTGTCTGACCCTGTTATCACGTCAGCAGCGAGATTGTCGATAGGACTCTCCTCTCAGAGAACCAATCTGTTCTCTCTCAGGAGGAAGGGGTGGCTGACACCCACACATACTGTACGACAAGCACACACACACACAGATAAATACACTCCTCCCCCTAAGACACATAAACACTCTGTTCAGTCAACGGATCGATTTAATTGTCTAGTGCGTATTCAAAGTCTTGCGTAGATTCCTGTGTTGTGACATTGAAAACAATCAGTCACAGTCAACGCCTTCTATTAATCATGATGTGACTTGTTGTGTTTTCGACAAAATAAATGTTCCTCAGCAAAACATGAAAGGATTTTTGGATTATGTAGAAAATAGTTAAAACTATAAACTCCCCCATATCTAACCAACAAATATGTAGATGATTTGGCATGTCCTTTTTGCAGACATAAACATTTATGACCTGTCAAATGTAACCACACAGAATTACAGAATAACTTAATGACATGGTTCTCGTTTTGCTTTGAGTATTTCTTTCAGGACATAGTTCTGATTGTTATTTATTAATTTTTGAGTGAGTGAATGAGTACAAGTCTGTCAAAGAATGAAGGAACATTGTTCATGTCAAAACAAGTTTTTTGCAGGGAAGATAAAAGTAGTGAAGTAATTCAAGTGTCTAGTCTGAAAAATAACAGTAATGGCTGTTCAAAAGACTGGAGCAATTGATTAATCTCCATGGACACGTTAAATGGCAGCTCATCTATGCTGAAGCTGCTCTCTCTCTATGTGGCTCAGTCAATAATTACACAACATGGATATAAGGAGAACTTAGTGCTACCATCTCTCTGGCCTTCGCACTCACCTGAGATACAGAGAGAGAGGGGGTCAGTGCTGATACACAGAAGACCACAGGGCAGTGTCATAAAACTCTGTCACAATACTGTCTAATATTAGTAGTTGGAATAATTCATACTCTCTTTAAAAGTGCATTTAAAACATTTGACTATATTGGTTCAGAAAATTGGAGATAATTCACATCTTTATTATTAGTTATTTCATATAAATAAAAAATAAAATGACTGTCAATTTTGAAGAACCCTTCTGCAGTAATATTCTGCAGCATTCTCCATAGGAGGTTTTGTCTTCCTTCACTCATGAATGAAATCTGATGATACTACATTCTGCTTTGGTGTGTCACTGTACATCCTCGTTTGTCAGTCCATGCCAGGGCTGTGTACTGTACAGAGACAAACAACCATTCAGGCTCATTCACATTCACACCTAATATTAATTAAGAGTGAGTATCATACATAATCCTGCATGTTTTTGACTTCAGGGAAACCAGAAAATCCTCGCTCACGTGGTGAAAACATGTAAACGTCATACAGGGAGACTGTTATTTACCATTTGGGATCCAACTGCTGACCTTCTTGTTGTAAGGCAATAGCACAATCCCCTCTCACAGCACGTGGCCTTGTCTGTAACCTCATTGGAATGTGAATGCAGTACTGTGTTAGAATCTCATGTAAACATCATCATGTTCTAAATAAGGTCAATAGTTAAATAATTAGTGTCCATCTCTGACAGCATCCATCCCTGTTGTCTCTGTTCCTCTGTAGTGTCTGTCTGTCTCATGGCTGCTGCTGCTGCTGCTGCTGCTACTACCGTAGGAGCTGATGATGCAGTTGATGCTGATGTCACCACCGCCTCTTAACATGCCCGGATGAACAGCGCCGCCATTTCCCCTTCCCTCAGTCTGACTTGCGCACAGCTAAAGCTGGAACACTGCACCCACCCTCCTGTTTATCCACACCGCTCCTCCTCCTCCCGTCTCTGACTCTTCAGTGACTGACGCACCGCTGTGTTCATCCCATCCAACACTGCTGATGCTGATGCTGATGCTGATGCTGATGCTGATGCTGATGCTGATGCTGATGCTGATGCTGATGCTGATGCTGATGCTGATGCTGATGCTGATGCTGATGCTGATGCTGATGCTGATGCTGATGCTGATGCTGATGCTGATGCTGATGCTGATGCTGATGCTGATGCTGATGCTGATGCTGATGCTGATGCTGATGCTGATGCTGATGCTGATGCTGATGCTGATGCTGATGCTGATGCTGATGCTGATGCTGATGCTGATGCTGATGCTGATGCTGATGCTGATGCTGATGCTGATGCTGATGCTGATGCTGATGCTGATGCTGATGCTGATGCTGATGCTGATGCTGATGCTGATGCTGATGCTGATGCTGATGCTGATGCTGATGCTGATGCTGATGCTGATGCTGATGCTGATGCTGATGCTGATGCTGATGCTGATGCTGATGCTGATGCTGAGGGCTCTCCACACGGCGGATTGTCCTTTTTAGGATGCGCTGAGAGGAGCGATGCTGTAGACCGGACTCGAGCACAAACACAAACAGCTGAGGAGATCACAGGAGTAGGCGACGGCGGTACAGGAGCATCCTCCTGGCGCTGTTTTGAATGGGCAGAGGATTCATCTTGTGCTGTGGTCCAGTCTGAGTCACTGAGGTAAGATGACCTGAGATGGGTTTTTTTTAATGGTTCAGCATATGTCACGCCTAGAATGAGGACAGCGTATGCGTAAAATTCCGTTCATGGCACTGACTGTCTCCATCTTTAGAAATAATACTACGACCACTCCTCGGGAGTGAAACTCGCCTTTGAGCTGAACATTTTAAATCTAAACAACAATAACGTGAGCTGACCTCGTTTCTGACGCAGCGCTGGATGATCCAGTGTCTGTGCGGTTTGTGTTTACGCGGCCTGTCTCTGAGGTGCGGCATAGGAGGCAAGATGGAGGCTGTATTTACGCACAGGATAAAATAAATATATAAGAAAAACACAAAATGAACGATCGCTTCACCAGTAAATCGCAGTCCTGAATGCATTCACACAGAATATATGTTAGATGTCAAACGTTGTTCAGGAGATGGGGATGCTGCTGGTTGCGCACAGCGCTGCTTTGAACAAAATGCGTCTCTGTCTAAAAACAAAACAAATCAACACGAAGTCAAAAAAGATACCAGAATAATAGTATTTCTAAATGACCAAAAACAACAACATCATCTGCCAAGGCTTTACTTGGTTTAACATGGGCCTCATTCCACCCAAGCAGACAGTTTGACCACCAGGCCCACAGCTCCAGTCAGAGGAGGTGAGAGGATGATGTCTGCAGTAAAAGCAGCCATTTTATTATAGAATCTAGATGATGATGTTTTTATCTGTCCAGTTATGACGCTGATGGGGTTTTTTTCTTAGCTCAAAATCTCTGCCTAGTGATTTCGGTCAAAATCAGGGTGTAAAGCTGTTATTTTGATTTGTCTGTTCAGTCTGATCAGACCCAATCATCAGTTTTAAAGATCCACAAAGTCATTAATGGATCAGACATAAATGAAATTATGCTCTATTATAACTGATTTTCACGTTTGAATTTGTTGTTTTTACTCACAGCTGACGGTTTTCTCTAAAGGGGCCATAAAAGGCGAATTAATTACCTGTGTTGTTTAAATGATGACTATTGCATTTTTCAAGCCTCAACAGGAAACCTTAGGTGAGGTTTATTTAACCACCGCAACGTCATTCCTCCACTAGATGTCACTATATTCTGCACAGCGTACCTTAAAATTATAATAACAATCACAACAACACCTAAACTGTCATGCAGTATTAAGTACCACAAAGTACAAATGTAATGCACCTGACTACAAGTGATGATTCCAACCAATGTTTTTCATCCTCTGCTTCTACTCCAGGAGGTAGTTGTGCATTTGTGCCGCCACAGATCTCCAGCTCTAGCGCCCTCTCACGACCCCACCTGCATCATGGCGGGGGCGTCAGTCAAGGTGGCAGTGAGGGTTCGACCCTTCAACTCCAGAGAGATTGGGAAGGACAGTAAATGCATCATCCAGATGTCAGGGAACACGACAAGTGAGTATGACTTCAGGTGTTTGTACTGCAGTACTGCAACACCAACACTTACATGTACATACATGTATTCAGGATGGATCCAGTACCTGTACGGTCATTAAAGTACCATTTATTTCTTTAAGGAACTCACTGTTTGCAATTTTTTTAAAACTGAAAAGTAAATGATCGATCAATTGAACAAGCTTTGCTACTGACTGATACAGGATGTATCAGGAGAAAAAAAAGAGAAATACCTCCCTAAATTTTGATAATACTATTTAAATATGATCTTTTTCATTTATGCAATTATATAGTCTGAGGATATTCTAAAAATAGTAGCACTGATAGTGATTTATATCAGGTTTATTGTACCATTATGCAACAGTTGCAATTTTTTGTATGAGTGATAACTGCTCTGTAATTCATTGCCTTTCTGGTTTGTTTTTATGGCTCTGTGACCCATATGAAACCACCTTTGCCACATTAGTCAGTCTTGGCACAGGAGAAAAAGCAGTGAGACATGCAGCAGCTTGGCAGTTATAGAGGAGAAACAAAAGCTTCTGTCACGGTGTGTGCGTGTGCGTGTGTGTGTGTGTGTAGGGTTCAGCCACCACTCACATCATACCATCTACAGAGACCAAAGAGACCCCATTGTTGTGGTTGGACCCTGACAGTGTCAGCTGATGCAAGCGCATGTGTTTGTGCCTATTTCAGCAAATGCCACTGTTCTCAAATCTCTCTTTTTGTCCCCCGCCCCATTCCTTTAATCCGTCCCATTTTTTTTGGCTGAGTGCATTTTTTGCAGCAGAAGAACTAACTCGCCTGTAGGAGGCGACACTGTTGATTAACTTGCAACGTCCAGGTCATGTTTCATATTCTGCTGTACATACAGTACATCCTGTCGTTTCTACAAGGATGTTGGTCCGTTTAAAACATTTAAAGTTATGAACTTGTGTCGTATGTTGTTGTATTTGATTTGAGCTCAGCAGCAAGAGACAAAGGGACATTGTCTGTCCCACTGTCTGTCCACCTCCTGTCTTCAGTTGTTGTCCATTGTTGTCAAGGCTGACACTTGGATTATTTTTTTTAATTTTTAATTTTTTCATTAACACATACATTAACATATTACCATGTATTAAATGTATAAAGCTCTTAATAACAAAAATAATCAACTGAAAAATAGTAAAATATTTATAAATATATATATATGCATTTTTGTAATGTTCTGTTTTTCTCTATTTCCATTTCAGCGATCCTGAATCCCAAACAACCAAAGGAAAACAAGAGCTTTAACTTCGACTATTCCTACTGGTCACACACTACAGTGAGTTCAATCCCTTCTGTTTCCTCTCCTTCAACAAATATCTACATCCTGTCACGGCTTAAAGAACATTTTCTCCTATAGCAGCAGCTGTGTTTATGATGCTGTGTCCTGATTTTGTTTCTTTGAGCTTCATCCATGTTCATGTCCACACTCCTCTCCCACCATTTCCGCAGCCCGAGGACATCAACTATGCGTCGCAAATGCAAGTGTACAAGGACATCGGAGAAGAGATGCTACTTCATGCCTTTGAAGGCTACAACGTTTGCATTTTTGCTTACGGCCAGACGGGAGCGGGTAAAAGCTACACCATGATGGGACGACAGGAGAAGGACCAACAAGGAATCATACCTCTGGTAAAGACTGGTAAACCATTATGTGAAAGTAATGCGGTTTAAAAAATATGACCATGAAAGTGACCATACACCCACTCTGTGTTTCTTAGCTCTGTGAGGACCTTTTCACCAAAATCAATGACAGCAATAATGATAACAGCAAGTCTTACTCTGTGGAGGTAAATGATTCAGATTCTGCAATAATTATACAAAGGCTTTACTTAACCTTTCTGTTATGTATAATGCATTATATATGTGTATACATATATAGTATTGGAAAGAATAAAATAATATCTAAATAGTATTTATAGTACTGGTTTAGTGTGGTGACTATGTGGCCTGACCTCTCCAGGTCAGTTACATGGAGATTTACTGTGAGCGTGTGCGTGACCTGCTGACCCCCAAAAACAAAGGGAACCTGCGGGTCAGGGAACACCCCCTGATGGGACCCTACGTTGAAGATTTATCCAAACTGGCTGTGACATCCTACAATGACATCCAGGACCTGATGGACTCTGGGAACAAAGCTAGGTGAAGTGATCATGTATAACAGAGGGTCTATGACCAGATGGTTATAGATGTGTGGTGCAGGCCTGATTTATCATCACTGATGCATCACTGGAGAAATTAGCAATGATAAAGACACCTGTGAGTCAATATTAAAAACATGAAATGTTCCATGTTCACAGGACTGTGGCTGCAACTAACATGAATGAGACCAGCAGCCGCTCCCACGCTGTTTTCAACATCATCTTCACGCAGAAGAAACACGACATGGAGACAGAGAACACATCTGAAAAGGTCTGACACTAACCCTAACCTCTTGTCTGTCCTTTCACATCTTCCTGTCTAGAAGATTTTGAACATAGATCTTAACTTATCTAACCACAGTACAGTGAGCTCTGTCTGTCTCCCTCCCCCCCCCCCCCCCCCCCCTTGGGTCTGCTGTCCAATCAATGTCATTACACTCACCTGTGTCCTGTGATTACCTGTAAACCTTCTGCACCTGATCTACAAATCTTTGGTGTTGCCTTTCGGATAATTCTCTCGCTTTTATGTCCACACTCCTTCTGTGTGGGTGTCATTAAATTGCACGTTTTTCATTTTTGAAATATTGTCTTCCATTTCACAGGTCAGTAAGATTAGTCTGGTGGATTTGGCCGGCAGCGAGAGAGCCGACTCAACTGGAGCTAAGGGAACCAGACTGAAGGTGAGGGAAAGCTGCTGTAATTATTGTGAGGTTTGTGGAAAAGGTTTCAGAGAAATTTCCTTTTTTTTTACATTTGATTTGTATTTACAGGAAGGAGCAAACATCAACAAATCTTTAACCACACTGGGCAAAGTCATTTCTGCATTGGCTGAAGTGGTACGTTCTCACACGTTGATGTTTGATGTTAATTAATTTTAATGGTTAAATAACACCATGTTTTTTTCTGTCATTTGTCAGGACTCTGTACCAAACAAGGTAAAAAAAACATCAAATATGACAACCGTGAACATTAAGTGTTCTTTTTTTCTGTACCTCTACTTAAGATTTTGTTTTTGACTTTAGAATAAGAAAAAGAAAAAGGTGGAAAGTTTTATTCCGTACAGGGATTCAGTCTTGACGTGGCTACTAAGGGAGAACTTGGGTATGCAACACTACTAAGTACTTCTTGTACTTCTACTACTATGAATTAATTTGGGGCTGAAATTAATTCAGAGTGTTTTGTTTGCAGGAGGAAACTCTCGCACTGCAATGGTGGCTGCCCTCAGCCCGGCTGACATCAACTATGATGAAACCCTCAGTACGCTCCGGTGAGAAAAATTTATTAGGAAATATATGTTTTTTCTGGTTTTTATTCCTACTGCCTGCCCTGTTCACGCACCTCATCACTACAACAGTGTAGTAAAGGCCATATTTGGGGATTTCTGCATTCACGATCTGCAAAAGCAGAATATAAACAGCAGTTTAATTTTGTGAAATACCGTGTACTCCACACTTTTGAATACCTTTATATAGAGATCATTAACTTTCATTATCTGGAGTCTCCTCCTATCTCCCCCACCACTTAGTACTTCTGTTGGTTTTAATGGCAGACGGTATAATATAAGGTGCATTCCTACCACTTAGGCAAATCAAGGGAGGAAAACGGTTTATTATTATAACCCATTTGTACAACTAGGTGTTTCAAAGCATTGAAAGTTTCTCAAATCGAGGCTGCAGTGACCCTGTGTTGTCCTCTCTGTCACCTCTTTTACTCCAGGTACGCTGATCGTGCCAAACAGATTCGCTGCAACGCTGTGATCAACGAGGACCCCAACAACCGACTGGTGCGTGAGCTGAAGGAGGAGGTGGCTCGTCTCAAGGATCTGCTGTACGCCCAGGGCCTGGGAGACATCATAGAGAGTGAGTGTCACGAGGATGGAATTTTGAATCTTGAATGCATTGCATAAAAAAACATAGGATTTCATTGTTAAACAAACATGGACAGTGGTTTTGTGAAGGATTTTTTTTCCTCTTAGTGAAAGAAGACATTGCATCTCACACACACTGTCCTCTCTCCTCTGTCCGATCAGCGTATCGCTGCACCGATCCAGTCATCTCCGGTTTGAAATGTGTGTATAAGTCGAGCGAGCCTGAGCTTTGCAGCTGCAGCAATTTAATATCAAGCTGGCATTTTCTCCTCTGCTGCAAAAGAGAAACTGACAAAAATGTCAAGGACATATTGCAACCTTATTTAACCTTGGGCCAAATGGCCTCTCTCTCAGGAGTTATCATCTCCTTTTGCAATATTTAGTTTCCCTAAGTTTTTGAGTGAAACGGTCAGAATGTTAAAAATGTAACAGTTCAACTCTTTAGTCACTTGAAGAATTTGAACTCATGGAAGAAAGGCCATTTTAGAAAACTGCAGAGCAGGTGTAACATCCTGGTTCTCTGTGTGCAGTCACTCAGTGCTGCAGCCTTTGAGGCCTACACTGACAGAAGCTTTACTGTCAGAGGCTGACCTAAAAAAAAACAAAAAACATGGATGAGTGAACTTTGTCTTAAGACCCCTACTTGAGTTGTTAAAGCTTTCTCTCTGCCTGCCACAGCTTTGCTGAGCAAATGACCTTTTTTTTTCTGTTTTCCATTCTTCTGCGTGTTCCTCTCAATCCCTGCCGTGCCTCCATAATTACCTGTTGCCCACTACTACCTTCCTTCGTTCCTACCTTTTTTTACCCCACCTTCTCTATTCCATGCAATCCCCCAACCCCCCTCTCCCTGGCAGACATGTGCGATTACAAGAACCTTGTAAATGATCGCCAGACTGCCAGTCAAAGGGATGATCTCTCCACAGTGACCAACGCCATGACAGGTATGAGCCCGTCACCGTCACTGTCCGCCCTGTCCAGTCGAGCCGCATCTATCAGCAACCTCCACGATCGAATCTTCAGCCCTGCCAGTGAGGAGGCCATCGAGAGACTCAAGGTAAGGCATCCGTAGTTTGAGTTAGAGCTGGGAATACTGTACAAAAGAGGTTGAAGAGAAACAATTAATAACGAAAACAACTTATTTCACCTTCAGGAAACTGAGAAAATCATTGCTGAGCTGAATGAAACTTGGGAGGAGAAGCTGCGCCGAACTGAAGCTATTCGCATGGAGAGGTTAGCTTTGTAGTTTGTGAATATTATTTCTACATTATTATAATCCTCTTAGTGGTAAACCTATTTACTTTAGATTAGATTTACCAGCACCCAAAGGCATAGATTTTCTGTTGAGTTGTTATTTTCAGCATCATGAGCTGAAGTATAAATAGTCATGCAGTTGAAAACAGCGACGCACTGCGAGGAGGCCTGAGGAGACTGAAACCAAATATGTCCAGGAAACCTTGAAATGACCTCTCTAAGTCGTGCAGTTTCTTTTTAGTCTCATCCTCTCCTCAAACCTGGTTCAGGGATCCATTCCATTAACTTTCTAAAACATTATGGATGGATTTTGGATGCATCTTAGGTTCATGAAAGCCTGCTGGCTTCAGCTATTTATTTGCACATTGAATCTCACCTAACAACGTTCTCTAAATGTGTCTCTGCAGAGAGGCTCTGCTGGCCGAGCTGGGCGTTGCTATGAGGGAAGATGGAGGCACTGTGGGTGTCTTCTCACCTAAGAAGGTACCGTTATTGTTCATTACTTTTATTTTTTGATTCTCATTCAAAAAACACATTCAATATAAATGACATTTACTCACTACTCAGACTCCACATCTGGTCAACCTGAACGAGGATCCGCTGATGTCTGAGTGTCTGCTCTATTACATCAAAGACGGCATCACCAAGTAAGAACAAACCTCTTTCCAAGCGCAGACGGATGTGGTGTCTTTTACGATATTTGTCTCATTCTGATGACATCATCTTCCTGCAGGGTTGGCCGAGAGAATGCCAAGACTCGACAAGACATTGTTCTCAGTGGACATTTCATTAAAGACGAACACTGCACATTCAGCAGCACTGTGGGTCCTCAGGGAGAAGGTAAATGAATCCGTGCTTCTCACTGTTTATATGATAGTTGGACACTGTGATGTCAAACACCTCATCTGTCTTTTATATTGTGATTGGTCATTCATATTTCATTTTAGGGTGTGTTGTCCTCGAGCCGTGTGAGGGGTCAGAGACCTATGTCAACGGGAAGCTGGTGACTTCACCCATTATTCTACGATCAGGTATTTGTGATTTTAACAAAAGTAGTTTAGGTCCAAATTAACCAGGTCAGAAGAAATTTATTTTAATAACACCATCTTTAGATTTTCTTTGTTAGTAACTTACCTCATTATCCAGAAGAGCCTTCAACATATTTTTCCCTACTTTTTCAAGGGAACCGCATCATTATGGGTAAGAGCCACGTGTTTCGCTTCAACGACCCCGAGCAGGCTCGTCTGGAGAGAGAGAGGACGCCATGTGCTGAGACCCCTGTGGAGCCCGTGGACTGGGCCTTTGCTCAGAGAGAGCTGCTGGAGAAACAGGGCATTGATATGAAAGTGGAGATGGAGCAGAGGTGATCAGTTATTATAAATAAATCAGGGAGTTATCTGAATAGCTTAGTATTGAAGGCCTATTATCAAAGTAAGATTATGCATGATACTGGGCCCAATTTAATATAAATATAATGTATATTTTCTTTCAGGCTTCAGGAACTGGAGGACCAGTATCGTAAAGAAAGAGAAGAAGCCAGTATCCTTCTGGAACAGCAACGATTGGTGAGGATCAGCTACTGTAGTATTGCCTATGCGAATATTTCCTGTTAAATATTTTTTTTCTTCACATGACCTTTAGGACTATGAGAGTAAACTGGAGGCTCTTCAGAAACAAGTGGACTCCCGGTGCCTGGAGTCACCTGAGGAAGAGGAGGAGCCCGAAGAAGAAGGTGTCACTGCCGCTCTTTACTCTCTCTGACATATACAGAGTCCGCTTCTATTAAGATCACCTGTAATTCTGAAATCTTTTTTTTTTATGCCTTTAGTGCCGTGGACGATGCGTGAGACGGAGCTGGCTCTGTGGGCTTTCAGAAAGTGGCGGTTTTACCAGTTCACGTCCCTCAGAGATCTGCTTTGGGGCAATGCCATTTTCCTGAAAGAGGCTAATGCTATCAGTGTGGAGCTAAAGAAGAAGGTGGGACATGGAAAACATTGAACTAGAAGCACAGTCTTGATTAAAAAAATATAATTATATGTTGATGTGTTGACATGATTTTCTGCCTTGTGTTGTCCTCAGGTGCAGTTCCAGTTTGTCCTCCTGACGGACACTCTTTATTCTCCGCTGCCTCCTGACCTGTTGCCCCCCTGCGTGGCTCACGAGAGAGAAAGGCGGCCTTTCCCTCAAACTATTGTCGCTGTTGAAGTGCAAGATCAGAAAAATGGAGCCACACACTACTGGACTCTGGAGAAACTCAGGTAAAAGCATAAAGCTGGTTTCCTTCTTCAATTCAAATCTAAATTCACACAGATGAATGCACAAGTCAGAATTTAGCACAAGTGTAAATAAAGCAATAACAAATCCTGCTTTCTTTCTTATCCTGCAGTCATCTTTATTCATAAGTCTGACATCATACCGTTTACTTCTGTCTTCCCCCTGCAGGCAGAGGCTGGACCTGATGAGGGAAATGTACGACCGTGCTGCAGAGCTTCCCAGCAGTGCTGTGGAGGACTGTGATCACACCCTGACTGGAGGAGACCCGTTCTACGACCGCTTTCCTTGGTTCCGTCTTGTTGGAAGGTCAGCTGTCAATAAAATAACCACCACACACACACGCACACACACTTCCTTTTTTTTCCCCATCCATTCTCTAACAAACCTTCATTTCTTGTTCCTGTCCCCAGGGCGTTTGTGTACCTGAGTAACCTGCTCTATCCAGTGCCCCTGGTGCATCGCGTGGCCATCGTGAGTGAGAAAGGCGAGGTGAAAGGTTTCCTCAGAGTAGCTGTCCAGGCCATCTCAGGTACAAGCATCCAGGATGAAAAACCTTGAAGCTGTACTTCCAAGATATGACTCATTGGTCACTAACTCTGGACACACTCTGTTGCTTCTGTGTTTCTTCAGCCGATGAGGAGGCTCCTGATTATGGCTCTGGTGTGAGGCAGTCAGGAACTGCTAAAATCTCCTTTGAAGATAAACATTTTGAAAAGGTAGTGGGACCTGCTTTTCTGAGGGTGTGATAATTCTGTAATAACGGCAATAAAATTGCTATAACGTTTATTTTTTAATTTCATTCCTTAGTTCCAGACTGAGTCGTGCCCTGGCACTCTGTCACACTCCAACACTTCCCAGGAGGAGCTGAGAATTGTGGAGGGAGAAGGACAAAATGCTGAGATGGGGATCTCTGTGGATGAAGTCAACAACAACACGTGCGAAGGTGAGACATGTATGTGTTGACAGACGCACAGATCTAGAGGTTTGTCAGATGGCTTCATCAATAGGATTAATTCTCCTTTTTTTTTCTCTAAATACTGTAGCCACTGTGGACGCTCCGAGCACCCCGACCAAGAGTTCAGTTCTTGGTCTGGATCTTCCTCTGGATCTCTCTCCAGAAAAGGCTCTGTCACACCTGAAGATTGGCAGCACCTTCACCTTCAGAGTCACTGTCCTGCAGGCCTCCAGCATCTCAGCAGAATATGCTGACATCTTCTGCCAGTTCAAGTGAGTGAATGTTAACACCTGCATCCACACACTAGATGGTTGAACCAGAATAACAGCATTACTAATATCACATGTGGCCTGTATTCATTAATATAATGAAATAATAAACTCCTGAATATACAGATATGCTAATGAGCCATGTTTTCTTCCAGTTTCATCCACCGACATGATGAAGCGTTCTCCACCGAGCCGCTGAAGAACACAGGCAGGGGGCCTCCGCTGGGCTTCTACCACGTACAAAATGTGAGCACTGACCTCTGCATTAGCCAACAGTATTTTTATTTTATTTTCAGTTCATTCTTTAGAGACTGGTTGAATGTAGAGGAGTGACGTCATTCTTTCTTCTTCAGATCACGGTGGAGGTGACCAAGTCCTTTGTGGAGTACATAAAGACTCAGCCCATTGTCTTTGAGGTGTTTGGTCACTATCAGAAACAGCCTTTCCCTCCACTCTGCAAAGACCTGATCAGGTCAGGAAGGAGTTTGTTGTTTATTTAATTGTTAACTAATGTCTTCCTGGAGAAAGAAACTCCTGTTTTGATTTCCTGGTCTTATTCTCCACAGTCCTCTCAGACCTTCCAGGAGACAGTTCCCTAGGGTGATGCCTCTATCCAAACCAGGTGTGCAGTTTGTATGAATCCAGGATCTATGGGTTTCATTGCACAAAGAGTCTTGAACTTGAGTTCTATTTTTACCCTTTGTTATCTGTGCCATTGTTATCTGCTGCTGATAAACCAAATGGAACAGAATCAATGGAGATAATACGCAGAGAAAATATCTGATTAGCTTATCATAAAGGTATAATAACCTCGACCAAAGGTCTGTAAGAGGAGGTCTGCGACCCCTAGGGGTTCACATAAGTACTGTAGGGGGTGTAAAATTGTTGGTATTATATTGAGCACATGGTCTAAATATATAAAGATGAGTATATGAGTCTTGTTTATTATTTGAAAAACTTAATAGTAACAGCAAAATACTGTAATACCATATAAATCCTGTAGTATTAAGTCCCTGCTCCATCTGTGTAAAACTCTAATACTGGTTTGAAATTATACTTAAGGTTAGTTTAATATCATTTGGCTGTATTCACAGTGTAGCTTAAATAACAGTTTATATATTTTTAAATAAAATGTCATGTTTTGTGTTCTGAAGAGACAGCTGTGTTATTCCCCTGTCTGGCAAAGGTTAAAGCCAAAGCCAGAGACTTGTTTTTGACTCAGTGATGTTCAGTTCAGACTGGTGTGCACCGGTCATCCTTGTCACACATTAATCTGCTCTGTCTCGTCATTCTTCAGTGCCAGCCACAAAGCTCAACACTCTGACTCGCTCTACTGCTGGACCCTGTCACGCCAAATATGACCTCATGGTCTTCTTTGAAATCTGTGAGCTGGAGGCCAATGGAGAGTGAGTTGTAAAGAAACACCTCTGCCTTCCTCACGTGCTGTACGGCCCTGATAAAATTCAGGATATAATTCTTTTTTCCTTCATTGTCTGCAGCTACATACCTGCTGTTGTTGACCACAGAGGTGGGATGCCTTGTCATGGAACATTCCTCTTACATCAGGTTGGAACCATCACTATCATTACCACCATGGTTTCCTATATGTGTTATTGTTCCCCAAACCTTTGGTCAGGACCTACAGATTAACATCTATCGTTGACAAATCGTTTCACATTTAGCTTTTGGGCTAACTATTGAGCACTAGATTTTTTTTTCATTTCATAACATTTATCCATTTATTATAGAAATGCGTTACTTTTTTTCTCCCATGCTTAGACTGCAATATGAAACTGTCTTGTCTTTACCTTCTCCACAGGGAATCCAGAGGAGAATCACAGTCACCATCGCTCACGAAACTGGAAATGACATTGAGTGGAAAGAAGTGAAGGAGCTGGTCATTGGTGAGGAACGACAAAAACGAAGAACAGAAATATACACACGCCATTTAATTAAATCACCAATTTGATTAATTGTGATTTATTGGACTGTAGGTCGCATTCGAAACACACCCGAGTCTGATGAGACCATCATAGACCCCAACATCCTCTCCCTCAACATCCTGACCGCTGGATATTTCTGGCCTAAACATGACGACAAGTAAGAATTTGGAAGTAAAAGTTTGTCTGTCATGTGTCATGTGGGTTGTGGGTTTGAGTCCGTCGTTTATATTTCTGATAGCGCATTCATTCATATGCATGTTTTCCTTTATTGTATGTAAAAATACACTCACATTGATGTATTTGCTGATGTTAAACATTAAGCAGCTGCAGACAAGAGATTTCTAACATTTCTCTAACTCCCGTTCCTTTTCTTCTACATTTATGGCAGCGTCTCCCTGGGAGTAGATCATAGGTACAAAGGCTAATATTTATATATATATATTTATAATTTTTCCCCCCAATATTTTCTTTTTATGATTTTCATTCGCTTCATAGATTTGGCTTTTATTTTTATAATACTCTGGGCCTCAGAGACATGATACAATGTATCTCTTCTCCCAGAACATTCTACCGATTTGAGGCAGCGTGGGACAGTTCCATGCACAACTCTCTGCTGCTGAACAGGGTCACTCCCTACGGGGAGAAGATCTACATCACCCTCTCTGCTTATTTGGAGGTAATAAAAAATACATGACATAGCATTTCGATTGCTTTGTATTTAATAAATATGTTTTCAATCCATGTTCACGGAGGATACCTTCTGATTGTGTTGTTATGACGTCTTGATGCAGATGGAGAACTGCACACAACCAACAGTGATCACCAAAGATTTCTGCATGGTGTTTTATTCTCGGGACACCAAGCTGCCGGCCTCCCGCTCCATCAGAAACCTCTTCAGCACTGGTTGCCTGCGCCCATCTGAGAGGTACGGATTTATACAAACTGGATCCAGAAATACAATCATTTTCTTTTCATTTCTCTGTTCTTTTAATTTCATTTTTTGACACATTCCATCTCTTCGTTTCAGTAACCGTGTCACTGGAGTTTATGAAATCACTCTGAGTCACGTCGCTGACAACGGAAGCCCAGGTGAGATGAAAACCATCTCACAGTGAAAATACGCATCCAGAGCGTTTTAAAATGAAAACATTTTGTCTTTATTTGTCAGGAATGCAACGCCGCCGCAGGCGTGTGCTGGACACTTCGGTGGCCTACGTCCGTGGAGAGGAGAATCTGGCCGGATGGAGACCTCGCAGTGACAGTCTCATTCTTGACCACCAGTGGGAGCTGGAGAAACTCAGCTTACTGCAGGAGGTAGATTAGTAGAAAAAATGACCTTGGATGATAAAAATGATTAATTTGTAGAACCATATACAAAGATTTTTAGCTGTAGTAGTAGTAGAAATAATTCCACCATACACAAGCTCAAACTTGTCTGTACTTATTCCAGGTGGAGAAGACCAGGCACTACCTGCTGCTGAGGGAGAAGCTGGAGGCCACTCTGCAGGCTGGACAGGAAGCTCTTTACAAGAGCAGTGACCTCAGCGACTTCGCAAAGAGTCCAGTCCTGAGCCCGAGTCCGAGCAGCAGCCCGGCCCCCGAGAGCCCCAACCAGAGGCAGCGGGAGCTGGCTGCCAAGGTGACTAAACATTTGTCATACATGATCTGTTTGATTTAACTGTCCAAGATCGCTTGAAAAAAATTAAAACAAATTATCCTCTCTGTTTTCAGTGCTTGCGTCTGCTGATGCACACCTTCAATAGGGAGTACAGCCAGGTGAGCAGCAGTGCCAGTGAGAGCAAGGTGAGCCCCAGTCTAGGCCCTGTAACCTGGCCCGGCCCTGTAGTTCTTCCATACACAGCATTATCTGCTGCTACAGAATCTTTAGGTTCTGTGCTTCATCCAGTCTCTCTATCCTTATTAACACATTTTTTTTCTAACATTTTGCTTATTTTCAAACTAAATTTATTTCACATGTTCTTTTGAACCAAGATTTTTGATTTTTTCATAACCACCAAGTCAGAGATAAAAACAACAATATTTTAAATTTGCCCATGATTCTCCACTGACACCAGTCCTTATTCTCTTCTCACTGAGGTCACCCCTGTGCGTTTTCTAACATGCAAATCAACGAGGGGCTCTGAGTGCTTGTGCTGCAGTAGAACTCAGCTGGTTTTTACACAGCATTGATATAAGATGAACATTTCTGTGACAGACTTTGTTTTTTATTTCCATGTCTGTGTTGTTTGTGCAAAAATGTTTGCTGGTATGATTTGTCTGTGTCTCTTTGGTCTCTTTGGTGTGTGTATGTACGTATGTGTGTGTGTGTTCTAGCTCTCTGAGATGTCTGCATCTTTGATGAGAGAATCGTGTTCGTCAGGACTCAGCACACTCACCCCCTCCTCCACCTGCCCTTCACTGATCGAGGGACACTTTGACTTCAGGTTTGTTACTGTGTTATTAGTCAGGACAGTTAAAACAACTGGGTTTGTTCTTAGTGAACCATGTAATATGTTTTGGAAATCTTGAACATGTTTTGACCTTAATGCTGACTGTTGATTAGTTTTGGGATTTCTATTCTTATTTTTTAAATATGGTCTATGACTTTATGTTAGAATGAATGCTTTTCATTTGTGGTTTTAAAAGGTCCAAATATATAAAATTATAATTTTTTTAAGGCACACTGAACCAAGTTCAGGAGCGTCCACTCCAGATCTGGACCCATTCAGTCCTGTGGACAGAAGGAAGGCCCTCAGAGGATACAGCTTTGTTCCTGACATACAGGAGATCCGTGTCAGGTCAGTGAAGACATACTGTGGTTAATTCTGGGAACTCTTACAACACAATGGCTGAGCTTAGGCTTTAACCACATTCTGTCCTGTCAATAAATAGCCCCATTGTATCAAAGAAAGGCTACTTGCACTTCCTGGAGCCACACACCAGTGGCTGGGTGAAGCGTTACGTGGTGGTGCGTAGGCCCTACGTCTACCTGTACCGTAGTGAGAGGGACAGTGTGGAGAGGGCTGTCATCAACCTGTCCTCTGCAAAGGTGGAATACAGCGAGGACAAACAAACTCTACTGAGGGTATGAAGGATTCTGAAACGGATTTATTGATAAAAAAGAGACACTCATTATCACAGTGAAACTGAAGTAACCTCAGTTTGTTGAATATCTCCAGACTCCCAACACATTTGCTGTGTGCACTGAGCATCGAGGGATACTGCTGCAGGCCACCAACGACAAAGAGATGCATGACTGGCTGTATGCTTTTAACCCTCTGTTGGCAGGAACCATCAGGTAAGTGGAGAAGAAATAAAAAAACACGTTTTAAGACAGAATCTGAAACCGACCTTTCTATGTAAATGATTGCAGCAACGTCCAGACAACCACGTGAAAGACACAATATACATATATATACATATATATGCACACACAGTTTTTTGTCATTTAAAGTGTTATCATTTCTTTTACAGTTAAGGGTGTTAAAACTACACTAGCAGTGTTGTAATACCTGAGTCCAAGAGTCTTGACTCCATTTGAACTTTAGAACTGATCCTTGGACTAATGTTAATGTTCTTCATTCTCAGTCAGACATGACTAGTCCTTTTTCTTCCCCTAGTGGTTCAGACACAGACTTGATGCCACAAGAAAGTTCAATCTTTCCAGTAACTTTGACCTGGACTTTGGAACTAATTTTATGACATTCATTAGAAATTAGTTTTATATGTGCTAAAAGTATAAACACTTAAGCAGTGGTTGTTATTTTCCTAACCCTGTAAAGTTTAGACCATTATCCATATAAATGTCAGTGATATATCATATAAAAAAGTCTTCTTGATTTTTACCCAAGGAACCAAAATGGCAGAAACCTATCACTGCCAACGGTTAGGAACTAAACCGAACAGTGTAGTAAATATCTGCCGCCCTCAAGTGGCCAAGAAGAGGATTAAGAGAAACACTCATTCTCCATCCCCACTCACCGTTAGCAAACACACCCTGTTATAATATATATGTATATATTTGTCTGTGTATTGTTTAAACTAGTTAAATGATATATTTGACATCTCTCCTCAGGTCTAAGCTCTCTCGAAGAAAGGCGGTCCAGTCGGTTCTGCCAGCTCACAGGATGTGAGATGTGAAACAGCGGGTGGAAAACTTAGGAAAGAAAACCAACAATCTAAACACATACAAACTCAAAAGCATTCTTTAACAAACATTGACCCTATAAAGGTATACTTTAAACCATATAAAACCTGTTATATGACATCCCTCAGCCTCAGCTCCAAACCCTGACAAACTTTCCCTTCGGTCTTTTTACAATCGGCACCTCAGTCCCTGCATGGTGTGCTCCCTCCTGAACAGTTAGGCGCATAGAACAGTTAAGTACCCAGACATTTGGATTCCCTCTGCTTGTTTTCATAGAGGTTTTCCTATAGAAGTAGAAAACTGTGAGGTCAGACCACCCCTGTAGGACGTTGTGCAGTAACCCTTTCCTCATTTCTCATTTATCCAAAATAAGTCGCCAGTGTAAAGCAACCATTTCCCTAGTGTTTCTAGCTCTTTACGAGAAGGGTGACAATGATAAAGCTCACACTGCACGGTCGTCAGTGTATAGGTGTATAAATCCGCTCATGTGTTATTTAAATACTGTACATGAAGTCAGTGTGGAATGGCTTGGTTCTCCACAGCGTAGGCTTTCTTTCACCGTGGAGGTCGGAGCAGAGCAACAGAGACGAGTCATTTTAAGACTAGAGTAGCATAAAGACAACAAAAAAGTCTGTGTGTTTTTTCCCTGCCTTTAATGGTAAAACAAATGAATCCAGGAGGAATAACTTGAGTCATTGCCTTGTTTTCATGTGAACTTTAACATATAACACAAGCTCCTGTGCATATACAAAAAAACCCCAAAAAAACCAAACAACTGTAATCCATTATTCCTCCCACACAGCCGCAAATACAATACTTGTTTGTTTTTGTTTCTAAAGCACTTTATTGAGTTGGTTTCATTTACTTCATTATTTTTGACCAAAGCATTTTAATGTTTTTTATTTATGAATTAATTTATTTAATGCCTTATGTGCTTTTGTGTTGTGGGTAATATCTCCAAGTTATTGAAATACCATAAATCTGGCCGACGTTGACCTGTTTGCTTTCTTGTGAAAAGAGGAACAAAATCTGCCTAATCTGCTCTTTTATTTACCCAGAGTTCCTTGTGTGTTTGTTTGGTCAGTAAATCAAACTCCAGTCTTACATCAGGGGATGTTTTTTTTCTCTCATGCAGAATAACTTCTTACAAAAAAGCAACTTCCTAAAATGAATCAGTTTAAAGTGTGTGATAAATAATTGTGTCGTTCATCTTCTAAGCACTTATTGTGTGTGGTACGGGACAGTAGGTTTGATCAATGGAATACATTTCCTATGGAGGGTTCTTCTTGTGGCTAAGTGGGGAATGTAAAAAAAAAAAAAACAGACCCAGGACCTTCACAGAGTGGAAGGCAGTTTGTTTTGAGCCAGTGTGGGCTGCACCAGATAGTGCCTCCCTTTTCTTCTCCTCTCTGTTTTTCCTCTCCCTCTTTTTCACCCCTTTATTTTTCCATCTACTCTGACGTTAGTTACACAGTACGTGACTGGAGGTGAGGTTTTTATGTAAATAAGATGTTACTTTTTATATTGACAAACTACCGTATGTTTTGCTTTGATGAGTAAATATTATCACTGTTGCTTTTAGTGTATGTTGGATTTTAAAAGTAGCTTTACTTCAGTTTTTTCTGTAATCCTTAAATGACTGTAGATGCTTTAATATTTCAACAGCTTGATGCCTGTGTCACACACCTGTGACATATGATGTAGCGCGTGTGTTGTGATGACTTCTGTGTCACGTACAGTTTCAGGTTGCGTTTACTTGCATCTGCATCATTCTGCAGCTCAAGGTGACCCCGAATATTGCCCTTATAGAGTATTACTTTGTATACTTTTAATTAAAAGCAGTTCAGTTGTACACTGTGTACAAGTGCTGAGTGAAAGACGTGGTCTGTCAGCCATTTTGTCTTTCAAATCACAGTCACTTTACAAGTGTCAAAACTGACCTGCTGCCAATGGGCAGAGAAGTATTTAGGGAGTATTTTTTGCCACAGGCCGACCAACCTGCTGAGCAGATCGCCCTGATGCTTTAGAGCCGCAGAAAAAAAACAACATCTAAATAATTCATAATACTTCACATCTGACCAAATATCTGTGTGAGGAGAAAAGTAGTCTTCAGGGTCATCTTGGTGCAGTCTGCTTTATTTGTTATTCTAAATGCCTAATTATTTATTATGTCTGCTGGAACAGAACAAGATGAGAAAGATTTATTTATTGAACCTACAAAGGGTAAATGATGTGGCTGGAATATCGCACTCGGACACAAAGATAACCTACAAAGGGTAAATGATGTGGCTGAAATATCGCACTCGGACACAAAGTAAATTTGTGAAAATTTGTTCATAATAATGTCATATAAAGGTGTGTGGAGATTGAAGATTCTAAAATTGTGCAATTTAATCTTTGCATCAAATTTGCTGTTCTTTTTTTTTTCTTTGGATTTCAAACTGGCACATGTTGTGCAATGCTTCCAGCTGTAATACCGAAAAATTCAAATGAAATACTGTTCAGATACTTGTAATGCACTAGCCAGTAAATGTTGAAGCTCCAACAGATTATTTCATCTTGGCTGCTTTTTACTCGTCACCTGGATCACAGCATGTCGGTCCACTTTTTTCTTCTGCTGTACTCTGTCCTCCTATCTTGCCTTACTGCTTGCTAATGGGAACAGCGCCCCCCACCCCCCTTTCCCTCAAGTGCTACTTGTTAAGTATTGTCATTCCCTCATCCTTGTAATGACTAAACTGGAACTCTTCCTCTTGGCTTTGTCTTGTATATAACTGGAGATGAACCGTATCACGTCTTGTCACACGGATGATGTGTACTCTCTCTTTCTCTGTGTACCATGAAGAATGGAAGTAGCCTGCCCAGTGCCTCGTAAGGCGTCGCCTCAGAGTAAACAGTGCTGATCGTGGATCAATCTAGGACTTTTCCAGCGCCATCTAGAGGATGTTGTGGTTGTGGAGCAGGTTGACGGTTCTAGGCCTGCACTCTTGCTCTGAGCTGGACTGACACTGTGGACGGTCCCAGACCTGTGACCAAGTCCTAATCTCAGTGTCCACAATTATCTGTGCAGGGTTCTGGGATTTTTTTTCCTCATATCTGTAGACACATAACAAAAGTTGTGAAGAGAGAAAAAAACAAACAAACAAAAAAACATGGCGAATAAATAAATAAATGAGTGTTGAAGCTTATGCAGCACTTGAGTGTCATGTGTTTAATTGAGATTTGAGTTACAGCTGTGCAATAACTTACTGAGCAGCTTCTACTGAGCAGGTGTAAGTCGAAAAATGAACATACATTGTGAAACTGTGCTTGTCTGCAAGTCTCTGGGTGATGAACAAAATAACCGCAACAGTGTTATCGACCGCAGCATCATCTCTGAAAGTTGTTTCTTAATTAACCAATGAATGAATTGATTGATCATCCTTTTTGTCAAGCTTTGTCCTATCTTAGCACTTCCTGACCTCTCTATATTACCTATCTATCCTTACTTTACCTTGATGCACCATTTATCTTACCCTACTTTCATAACCTTATACAATCTCTCTACCTCATTTTTTCACCCACATATCACGTGTCTTTTCTCCCTGGCTGACTTCCACTTATCCTACCTCACCTTACCTTATCCAAGCCTAGCGCATCGTATCGTGTCGTATATCTTATCGTATCGTATATCTTATCTTATCTTATGCTTTCTGGCACTACTGTAGCTAATCTCACATTTTATTAGGATATTTTTTCTACATTAGCCGGTCTAATCTTGGTTGAGCTCAGCTCAGTTTATCTTAGCTCAGTTAAGGTTGACCTCACCTTGCATTGCCTCCCCCTGCCTCACCTTACATCACCTCAATCAACCCCACCATACCTCTTTCCTTTAAATTATGGTTGATATAGAAAAAAAAAAATCCAAAGTTAATCAGGTTCAAGTCCAACACTGAAACAACATGAGGCGTGGCCCCAGCTGGACTGTGTTTTGCTGATAAAGCATTTGACCAAAAAGAAACGCTGTGTTCTCTTCATGCCTGTTGTGTAACAGTTTTGCTCCAAGTGAACACGTTTGTGTGTTTGTGCAGCTGCCTTCCATTATTGATTATCCTCTCACCTACAGTACGCTCCACTGCTGCAGTGGGACCGGTCCAGATAATCCCCCACTAACAGGAGCGAGGGGCAGTCACCTCCCATCAGGCTCTGAGCTACAGTCTATGGTTACAGCACACCAGTGATGAACAATAAGTTTGGTTGGTACTGTAGATCTTTTCTATGTCATGAACGTTAAATATTTAACCACGGTCTGTGACTCTGTCTCTATATCTGTCTGCTCAGCTTATGTGCGTGTGTACTGATGGTGTAGAGCACTTCCACGGAGGCTCTGAGAGGCTTAGCACCGCTGGCCCCAGAGGAATTATTTATATTATTTATTTAACTAAACTTTGGTGTTATTTGCTCAGCCTTTTTGTAAGAAAATGGTAATAAGTGATTTCCAAACTATGGTATGAGTACCGCTGGTGGTACTTGGGAGACTTGTGATTAGGATCAAATGAGACACCAAGTTGTCAAATCCATTTGTTATAGTCTATATATTTACTTACACTTGTTATTAGTCGCAATTATTAAGTAATAATTTAAGTACTAGATGTAGTACTATGTGATTGTATAGTGAGATTTTGGCCAATAAAGCCAATTAATAGTGCTGAGTATCAGCACTAGTATATAAAAATATATATAAGCTAACAATCTATAGTCTCTGGACTTTAAACCCCCCAGAATATTAGAAAAAATGTTGATTGCGATTTGGTGGGAATAATGTACCGTAGTTTTACAGTCAAAAAAGGCTAGAGTCCATTTAAAAGGTTACTTCTCTGCAGAGTTTTTTCTTGTATATTTGATGGCAGTCACATTAGCAGGTAACAGTGTAACTGGAGAAGCCATGTTTTTGTTTCACTAAATCATATGTTTACATAAAACTCAAGTGCAAATCTCTGCCATGACTTGTTATTAAGTGACACTTCAGGAAACACTCTACAAGCAGATTTGTATGTAGAGCTCCTGAGTGCCAACACACACACACACACACACACACACACACACACGTGTCCCTGACATACAGTATGTACAGTGGTATCCTTCTATACTTCCCGTCCAGGTTACCCAACCCCAGCTGTTTAATTATGCAGACTAAGAAGGCCCCCCATCTGAGGTTTAGAACCAGCAGATGCTGCTCCTTCATCTTACTGTTTATCTGCAGCTCCCGAGTGAAGACGCCGTCAACACCGCCTCATTTTTATTCTCTCTCTGTGTGAAGCCACCGTTTTGGAATTTATACGTAAGTACTGAATGAGTTTTTTTTCTTTCTTTCTCAATTATGTAGTAATATCTGTGTGATCAGCTGCTGCGTATGGAAACATGGTTATTGAGAACTGTTTTGATTTTTCTTTAATATCATTTTAAAAGTCAGATGACAGAGAGAAATAAACCCTCATCTTTGTATGAAAAAGTTTTAATCTGAATTCAACTAAAAGGAAAATAGTAGTTAAAGGATAACTATCTCCTTGGTGACATTTAGTCACTGCGTCTCACAGGTGTGTACCCAGTTTGACTTAAATGTTGTGTGGATGTTCATGGTTTTTCTGTGTCCGTACATCGACAGTTGTCGAGACGCTGTTGTTATTCTTGGGACAAAGTTCTGCTGCAGTGAGTTGACATGGAGAACATCAAGGTGAGTACTCAGGAATTTGGAAAGATTTGGAAAAAATGTGTTTTAGTGAATCTACTCTCTAATTTGATTACCTATATATACACTGTGCAATACATTAGAACAGACCAGGGCAAACTATGGCCAGTGGGCCAGATACTGCCCGCTGGGCTCTCTAAACTGGCCCCCAACCACTTTACATCTAACCAATACTGAATTGGTCAAATTAGCATTAGCATGTGTGTGTGTGTGTGTGTGTGTGTGTGTGTCCTGCAGCCAGTGAAGGAGGTGCTTCCTTTGCCACGCCACTCCGACGCTCCTCCTCTCACCTGTCCTCCTGTCACTGCAGCCCCTGCTGCCAGGAAACAGCCTACAGGCTCCAGCATGCAGCATATACAGTTGGCCTCTTCAGGTCATCAACAACCACCTTCAACATTCAGAGCTGCATTTAAAAAAAATTAAAAACATATATATTTGATGTATTTTAGCACCTGACATTTTCCAAACGTTTCTGTTTCTGTTGTCCACAGTGGTGACATCGTTGAACCATCTGAGGCCTCTGGAGAGAGACCTCAGCCTCATGTCCCATGTCAAGTCCATCAGGTCTCTGAGACAGGCTGGTCTCACAGCTGTCTTCACTGGACCAACTGTGAGGAGTTCTTCTTAAACCTGGGTGTTGGATGTTAAACATATGTCTCAACAGCCCTTTAACAGCTGTTATATTTGATTTTACTGATTTCATATCTATTTGCTCGGCTCTGTGACTTTCTTATTTTGCTTTTCACTTCCAGAGGCTCGAAAATGAGGAGGTTTTCGAAAAGGAGCCGGTCCTTGATGTGATTTTGGCCGACATAGATTCCCTGGTGCCGACTCACGATGAGGCCGGACGACCCATTGCAGAATGGAAGAGACAGGTGATGGTACGGCAGCTGCAGGTCAGGCTGCAGGATGAGGAGATACAGAGGAAACAGGTCAGATGATTTCTGTGGACACTGTGCTCATAAGGTTCTGTGGAAAATGGCACCTATTACACATTTCACTTCAAGAAGAAAATAATCATCCAGAAAATGGTATTAAAAAACGATTTAGTCAAAATAATAGGTGAAAATAAGTTTAAGTCAAAATAGCTAAAAGTTTAGCCATAAATGCTATCCCTGAATCCCTGAATTGTCCTTTAATCTATTTTTTTTTTTCAAAACAGGACATGACTAATGGCTACATAACAGCAGATGATTGGAAATATTCCCATGCTCACAAAGCGGTCCTGGGGCCTTTCGGTGAACTCCTGACCGAGGAAGACCTGGTGTACCTGCAGCAGCAGATCGACACGCTGTCGCTGCAGAAACACTGTCAGGCCTACGAGCTGGAGCTGACCAGGCTGACGGAGGAGCTGAGAGCCTTCCTCCCTGATCCCATTCTCAACATCTCCCTTAACAAAGAAGTCTTAGAACAGATGACAGCTCAGGGCAAAATGCAACTGACCTTGCCTCTGTGGTGCAGCCGTGTTTCCGAGATCGTCAGGAGCATGTCTGTGCTTGTAGATAATCTGAGCCATACAAAAGGATATGTGAATAATAGCATAGTAATGGGTGGCATGGTGAAAGAAATTGAAGAGATACAGGGTCTGAAAAATGGTTCAGGAATGGATGTGGGCCGAGAGGCATTGTCAGTGCATGTGGAGACCTCTAGTGGATGCAGGATTCCTCACATAGGCATGGCGTCTGCCTTCAGCCATCGTTTAGAGACCAACAGCTGCAGCAGAGCACAGAGAGAAAAGGTGGAGCGGGAGATCCAGCTGTCTGGTGTGTCGGTCAGAACCCTGAGGTGTAACTTTGAAGGTCAGATAGGTGGGATTTATCCATTCGCCGGAGTGTTGAAGGGAAGTCAGGCTTTCAAGAACCAGGCGGCAAATGGGCCTTTAGTAGGAAACAGTGACAAATCCAGCACAGGCCTCTTCTCTGAGCTGAGCTATTATGAACCTGCTAAAACATTTATACCAGTGATGGAGACTACCAGCTTGAGGAAAGAGCGTATTGTCGTTCTGTTCCTGAGCCACTGGAAGCGGTCGGCTTATGCTATTTCGCTCAGAGCAGCAAAGCAAACCGCGCCGCCAAAGAAAATCATCTCCATGTTTGAGTTTTGCCAACAGCGAGTTGCTGTCAACAACATTCTGAACACGTGGAGGAAAAAACTTGCACTCAAAGATGTGCATGTGTCCCCTTTGTCCACCCCCAACTCACTAAGTCCCGGTAGACTAACCTACTCCCCCGAGCAGTTCCTGCCTGCTGTGGACGGTGTTCTACTGGACCATGACAGTCTGACTCTGGATCTCTTCATGCTGGGATACTTTCACATCTTAGAGCAGGATCTGCCCCCAGAAGAGAGGAAAATGAGGCACCTGCTCTGTTTCGAGGTCTTCGACCATGTCGGCAGCTTCCCCTGGGAGACGGTTCTTAACTTCCACAAGGCTGTGATCAAGGAAATCCAGTCTGGGAAGAGACAGTGGAGTGACGGCTTCGAGGACATTAAAGTCCGTTTCTTTGGAGCAGCAGGATCTTGCTGCGGTCAGTCTTGGCATCCATCGACGTTATCGTCATCCCAGTCAGAAGCCCAACTGGTTCCCGAAGTTACAGTTCAAGCTGCCCCTCCAGAGAGCAGCAGTGACACAGACGTTTCTTGTTTTGACAACGAAGACATTTGTAAATACATTGACCGCAGCTTTGCTTTTTGGAAGGAGAAGGAGGCAGAAATCTTTGATTTTGGGCATTTGTTTTGAGAATTAATATAATAATATTTCTCCTTCTATATTAATTTGATTGCATGTTTTTTTTTTTACTACCGTTAGACAATAATTACTAGATAGAAGATGATAGACAGATAGATAAATAGGTAAATTGACAAAATATGTTTGTATTTAATACAATTTGCATGTAAAAGTGATGACAGTAAGGTAATAAAACGTGTTCAGGGTTTAATGTTATGCAGGGATTAACCTCTTTCTGCCATAAACCGACTCCTCTCTAGACATCCACATACGTCACAAATGTATGGATTCAGGTCCAATTAAAAGGTGCGGGGTAGAAAAATAGGTGAGGTCGCGCATGCGCAGTAGCCTCCCGAAGTGACAGGAGGATGCTGATGCTGAGCTGCATTCCCATCATTCTGTGAGGAGAGGTGGATCCCCCTGCGCAGCCACGACGAAGAGAAGACGCATAGGAGCCATACCATCACATACACCCAGAACCAACAGAGGCCGAGCTGCTTTCTTCTGCCACCATGTCAGCTGGAGGAGATTTGGGGAACCCTCTGAGGAAATTTAAACTGGTGTTTCTGGGGGAGCAGAGCGGTGAGTCAGTGTTCGACTCTGGGTTGTCCTGCCCTAATGGCAAATATTGCTGTATGACGAAGGCCATGTATGTGAGTTGATTTTGAAAGTTTCAGTGTGGGTCCAGAGGATGAGCAGACTGACTCTGGCGTCATAACGCCCATGTAAATGATCCTGGCACTGTGTCTGAGACAATTGCGTTAACCAGAGCTGGAGGAGAAATGAGTAGAAATGCAGCATCCGCCTCTCGAATCGAGTGCAATAATTGTGATCTACTTTAAAAATACTGCTGATCGGAGTGCTTTTCTTTGTGACAGAGTTCGGTTTGTGTCGCTAATTGTGATATTTGGCGTCATAGCAGTCGATGTGGTGTTTTGATGTGCTGCAGTGACCGACAAATACGCACGGTCTGTCTCCAGACTGCTGCCTTACCTCACCTAACAAGGTTTATTTCTAACCAAAAGACAATAAAGTGAAAATAAACACGGTTCACTTTATTCTCTTTTATTCCGCACTCGTGTTATTATTAATATTATTACTATTTTTACAGAGAAAATAATAAACAGTCCCCATGTGTCAGTTCGGGACACACCCAAGCCTGGCGATGTCGGTGGAGCATCTCCAAACATCGCAGTGTCCGATTCACTCCCGCAAATATTTCAATAAAAAACGGGCTTGACAGCGCCACGGCTTTGTAGTATATATTCAACAATGGCTGTATTCAGTCCGGGAATGAATGTGGGTGTTGTTTGGTGTTTTGGCAGAGATTTAGGAGGAGCCGATCGATAGTGGTTTAATGCGTTAAAGGAGTCAGGATGCCTGTTCAGACGTCAGCTATGAGAGGGTGATGTGTCATATTCAGAGCCGGATGAACATAATTAGGCCTAATGTGACAACAGCAGTACACTGTGGGTGTCAATGTGTGTGTTTCTGTGTCTACGTGTACGTGTGTGCGAGCGCCTCCATGTGTATTTGTGCGGCCTGCGCTGCAACGGAACTGTCCGTGGTGCTGAATCCAGGCCCGGCCACTGCCCCATTCATTGTACTCTAGCTGCCTTTTAAAAACTCCGACATCCTGCTGCTCCTGATGTGTCTGAGAGCTCCTCGGCCCCTGTCCCCCAGCACACAAAATGGTGCTAAAGATGGCTCTGGGTGGGATGTAAATAAAAATGGAGCTCACTAGGCTCACCTTGATCTTTGGAGTAGTCGCCATCTGGGCTCAAAACAAGTCTCGGGTCTTTGTGTTGTTTCAAGGCCCACAGCCTGGTTGACAGTCATTTTGTGGAGATGTCTGTCTTCTGTTATTCTCCTTCTATCACATCTTCCCACACAGGTTTTTTAGATATTTCTGGAACAGATTTTCAGACCCATGTTCTTAGTCACTTCAGAGTATGAGCCACATAATGCAAATCAAGGTTCCAATAACTCCTGATGAACCACATTGTGCATGACTTAGTTAAAAATACTAAATATTACTTGTTTATTTTGTAATTTATATGGACATACAATAAGTTCATCGCCACTTGATTGATTTTCTCCTGACATTTTTAGAAAGTTAAATCTGAACCAGATTTGCATTTAAAGAAAAAATAACACATTAATGTGAGTCTATACACTTTATAATCCACTAAATTGTCTTCTCTTTTTTTCAGTGGGTAAAACATCTCTCATCACTAGATTTATGTATGACAGTTTTGACAACACATACCAGGTAAGACCAGATCTACAGCTGAAAAGCATTAAACACAGGAAATGATTCATGACACTGTTCAGCAGCTGTGTAATATGTTTGTCCAATTGATGTCGCTGACAAGTGGTTGTAGTAAATAAGTAGTAACAATGTCAACTGATGCTTCCTCAAAAGGCAGATGTGACAGGAACTAACTGTTCAGATCACACCTGGTGTTTTTGAAGAGTCAATTTGAATGTTGAATTTTAGTCAAACCTTGAAAAACGATTATTTCTGGAACAGAAATGCACTTTAAAAAAGAGAAATCACAGATCAGTCATTTCCTTGACGTCCATGAAGTCTAAGCAGAAATGATTAGTGATGACTCCACGGCACCCACGCAAATTCTAATTCCATTAATCGTCTCTTCTACAGCTTCACAGTCACTGCTCTTTGTCATATTGTTTTCTCCATCTGTTTTTACTCTTCTTTTTTCCTCCACCACAGGCAACCATTGGAATTGACTTCCTATCGAAGACAATGTACCTGGAAGACCGAACAGTAGGAAGCCTTCATTATTTTTTAAAACTCATGCTTGGCAGCAGTACATGGAATTCATTCTTTTTTTTATTCACAGGCAGTCAGTCAGAATTTAGAAATGGCCTACTTACAAAAATCTGTTTTGACTAATCCTGAATTCAATTTGTCTTCTTACTGCTCTCTTTACAGAGTGACACGATTATCCCAAGATTTATTTGTTAGAAATAGGCAGAAATTATTTCTAGTGATTGATTGGCTTTTCCAGCCCTTCCTTAGTCTGTATTTATCATCTCTTTGCCTGGATGTGTTCTGTCTGCCTGCACAGTAGCTAATACCAGCTTATCCCTTCAATAGTGTACTCATGAAGCCGACCTGGTACATATGAGGCGTGTTGAAACAACCGTCTGATGTGTGCGGTTCTGTGCGTATCTGTTCTCAGGTGAGACTTCAGCTGTGGGACACAGCTGGACAGGAGCGTTTCAGAAGCCTCATCCCAAGTTACATACGTGACTCTACAGTAGCTGTGGTCGTCTATGACATTACAAGTGAGCAGGAAAATGACATTCTCACCGTTGTATAATATGTGTATATAAATAAAAAGCATGCATCTAAACATGAAAAAAAAAAAATCATGGCTTCCACAGATGTAAACTCCTTCCAGCAAACCTGCAAATGGATTGATGATGTCAGAACAGAGAGAGGAAGTGATGTCATCATCATGCTAGTCGGCAACAAGACAGATCTAGAAGAGAAGAGGTGATTCTCCCTACGTTCGTCTGTGTGCACAGAAAGACTTCATTCACCCCCACCATAATGATGCATAATTATTCCTGCTTGACTTTTTCACAGGCAAATTACGATTGAGGAGGGGGAGCAGAGAGCCAAAGAGCTGAATGTCATGTTTATCGAGACCAGTGCCAAAACAGGATCCAATGTCAAACAGGTAAATCCTGCACTTTCACCATATTTCACATGGTTTTTGGTTGTTCTCATCTCTTAGTTCCTCGGTTCTCCCTGTGCCTCCACCCAGAAGCCAATACCATCTGAGAAAATAAATTAGGTTTGAATCACAGAAAGCAAACAATGATTGCTGCAGGGCATTTTATGGACAGCTCACCTGCGTGCTGACTCAGCTTTATTGGCTTGGCTAAAACCAATCCTGCCATCTCACTGAGGACATTTCTATAAAATAAGGACTGCAGTGAAACACTACTTTATAATAACGCTGTATAGAAACGGGTCTAATACAAGAGTTCATACTTTTGTTCTGTTGCATGATGGGTACAGGACGACTTTAGCTGCAACTGCTGCATTGACACACCATGGTGTTATTATGGATGTAATGAAATATCAATTTAATAAACTGCTCAAAAATGGTCGCCTTAAGTGAATAACCCCAACAGTAACTCTCATCTTCTCCTCTTCTTCTCTCTCATCATCTTCCCTCTCTCCCGACCTGTAGTTGTTTCGTCGGGTTGCTGCAGCCCTACCTGGGATGGAGAGCTTGGACGATGCAAATCCTGAAGGCAGTATCCTTTCTAGCCGAGCGGCTTTTTTTAATCTGTGAGTGGTTCCTGGCACTGTTACAAACACAGCTGCCCAGACTGCTGTCTGCTGAGACAAGGGCCATTAAATCTGCCTGTGCCTAATAGGGAAGAAAGCAGAAGGCCAGGAAGAGAGGAATGCTCGGTGCACTGATATAGCACAGCTTGGTGGCTGCAAAGGATATGACATGTGCCTCGGATAAGAAAAAAAAAGGATTGACATAAAAATAAGACATATTCATGAGACATGTTAAGTGACGTTATTTCATCATGATTTCATCAAAAATATTTTTTATATTATCATTACTTATTTTATTTAATACAAAATGACAATAAAATACACATGTAATATATACATATTTTATTATTATTTTATAAGATTGTTTCAGCTAAATTGCTCTATAAAAGTGACAGAGAGAATTAATCAACATATTCTATTAAGGTGGTCCTGGAGGAAAAACCCTGAGGGGATTTTCCTGCTATAATTTCAGTCAATATTTTTTCATTTTCTCTCAGTCATTTCCTCAACTGATCAACTCCCAGTGATCGACATCAAGTTGGACAAGCCGGCGGAGCCCAGCGTTCCCGAGGGCGGGTGCTCATGTTAATGCAGAGCTGCGGTCGGACAGCTCCCTTCACACCATAGGCTTGTTGTGTTGCTTACTACTGGTTAGCTTCCAGTTGACTTCTCTAATTGGATATAGGATCGGGGCCTTGTATCTGATTGGACAAATCAAATGTTATTTCTCAGTCTTGTTCAGTTGTAAAATATTGTATACTTTGTCAATATGTAAGTGACCGGTGGAGAAAGGGAAGGTAAAAAACCCACCCACACACACACACACAAACATACACACTCTCACAATGACTTGAAAAAATTAAAGAAAAACTTGTTTGGAAAAATGAAAAAGAAAGACAAACGGGAAAACCAAATGGAGTTCTTTTCGCTGTTATGTTTTGTATTTTTTATATATAAAAAGGGAAAGCACTAAAAATGATGCCTGAACATAGAAGGAGAAATACTGGGGGCCGAACACGTCTGAATGTCTGCAGCACGCATGCACGCTGATCTGATCTTTGACCTTTGGCCTGCCCTCCAGGGTCTCTATGCTCTGGAAGAAGGTTGACTATCTTAGAATGTTTTATAGCATCCACTCTATAGCATCTCATGACAAAACGTATCTCATTTGATATTCCCACCAGAGTCAACTTCTAGTAGGTTCACCTAACAGTAGCTGTAAAACGTGGCACTCTATCTCTATGGGTTTAACTTTTATAGAACAAACTGTACTGTGGTTGAAAAAAAAACGAAGTAACAGAAACCAACTTACTATCACAACTCCTCCCTCAGAACACGTCTTTCCTATTCCGTCTTTTCCTCTCTTGACCCCTCCCTCCTTCTTCCTCTCTTCTTCCCGATACTACTCATATAATGATCCTCTGTAATGCACTGCATTGTATATAATAATGTAATATGTATGTTGTGAACGTCCCTCTGTAGCAGTGGTCCTTGTTCACCAGTATGAATAATGTAATAATGTTTAATGATTAATAAATTAAAAATTAAAGGGCTTCACTCTCCTAACCATCAACATTTATGTAATAGATAAATGATCTGCTCTGTTAAAGGTCACGGGCTCTTTGGAAAGATTTATTAGTTTACGCCGGTCAAGGACACCGCCCCGCATGAATACAGGATATATGGATGTCCCCTATCTTGCCTGCAGGCGGTGCTATTCATGTATTTTGAATTTCCTGCTCAGAAGATTTGAATATGTTGGTATAATGTTCTTCTGATTTGTATAATTCTTTCACAAGACTCACAGCATGACAAATCTATTCTATTCTATTCTATTCTATTCTATTCTATTCTATTCTATTCTATTCTATTCTATTCTGCCAGTAGTGAACGGGCCAAGTTGCATGGTTGCTGCCCTCAGGGGGTCCCACTCCCTATCTTTATAACTAATGACTCATATTTGTATACTGTAGCATGACGGTTCTTACCTTAACCCTAATCCCAACGACTCTTACCCTTTCCCGAACCCTAACCCTAACCATTCCACCCGTTGCGAGGCCTCAACAACACCAGGCCTGAGCTGCACACAGTGATTCAGTATCTAAAAATGTAACAGTGAAGGGGAAGTTGAGGTGGAAAGAACCTTTTAGAGAAGAAAACTGTCACTGACGTGTCACGCTGCTGTGACATAAGGACAGGTATTCCCCTGGACTAACAACATGCCACATGATCCCTCAGGCGTCCATCAGGAGACAGAGACAGTTAGTGCTGTGAGTGGACAGATGATGTCCACAGAGACAAGAGGTAGGAGTAGGACGCCTCTGTTGAGTTGGCCGAGGGCAGTAGCTTCATTATGGGATGTCTCGCACCTCGGCTGGTCAATAATCACCACAGTGAAGGAGGGAGGCTTTAGTTTATGGTATAGAAATAGATTTTTATTATAATTATAAATAATGTTTTTACCCCATTTTCAGAAAATCTGGTTATGAAACACTTAGGAAATCAACGTTGCTAACTCACTCAACCACGCTCACCATTACTACTGTATAATTCATAAACATTGTATTATTATTATTATTTGACCTGGTTCAAGGTCATCTAGAGCATCTCTGTTTTGTGGAAATAATTTTGATTTATTTTCTTTGCTAAAAGACCACCATAACAGTAAAAACTGTCAGAAATCTCACTGCCTAAAAGAAACATGTACTGTATCCTATGACGTCAAGTCAATATTCAGTAGTTCAGTTAATAACACCACGACAGAAACACTACAAGTCCTGTAACATATTTACTTGTTATAACGGAGGACACGCCTCTTATAGTCAAAGCCCCACATGCATGACGTGCAGTCGTCTTTGTTCTGTCTCTCATTTACAACACGGACCATGTCCAGAGTGGAGACTTTTAGAGACACAAGCCTTCGCTGCCGGCTGAGGGAGCTGCGCACCGACATTGCGATGTCTGTAGACGACACTTTTCCTCTGGTTCATGGTTTGGCGGACAAAAATATCATTAGTGACCAACAGTTCAAGGTAAGACACAACTGTGAGTCCAGTAACATATACAGCATTTTTTATTTATATTTTTGTTTGACTTATTTCTCTTTGCTGTTCATTTGTGTATTCTTTTTATTTGTGTGTGTGTACATTTTAGGACATTCTAGAAAAGGATAGAAGAGAAGGAACTCATAAGGCCATGTACTCGCTCCTCTCCTGGCTCCTGGACCAGAGCAGGTCCACAATCCAGGCGTTCTGGAGCAACATGACCAAGGACTACAACCTGGACAGTTACCCCAGGCTGCAGAAGCTGCTCTCTCACCTGGACACCAGTAGGTGGACACTGAGCTCTGTAGTAATACAACTGAATAAAGTATATAAACGTGCTATAAAAAATAAAAAAAAATTTTATGATAGAGTATAAAAAGAAAAGTAAAGGAATAAGGAAGGAATACAGTCATCCTTACCATGTTAAAGTTACAAAGGCACTCAACAAATAACACCATAATTTTAATATTTTCTTATTTATCTAAACTAGTAAATGTTTTACAGATCCACCTGTCAATTTTAATACCTGCAGTAGGTGAAATAACATAATTAATACCAATGATAGCATTCACTTCAAGGACAGTCTCATTTGGATCATGCAGGTTCCAGAAGTGGGAAGAAATCTTCTCGCTGCGACAAAGTTCCTCAAGTGAAGAAGAGGAGCCACGAAGGAAGAGACAACAGTTCCAAAAAGCTCCCACACTATCATGCAGAGACCAGTGCCAGTCCAGGTGAATTCTACACTATCTCATGTCAGCAGCTGTGATATGATTCTGTTTCTCCTGCCCGACATCTGTCCACTAACGTCACCTTCAAGGTGGATTTAAACCTCTACTCTTCTTCAGTAGGAAAGGTGAAATTATACAGAGTGAAAAGTGAAGAAGCTCCGTCTTCTCAGCTACCGTCTGGAGACAGTAAGTAGCATAAACACAGGTGGTCGAAATTATGGCAGTATTTTAATCGTTTATTCTACAGGTGTGGAGGCAGTTTCCTCCTCAGTTCAAAGAGCAGTTAAAAGAGCAGTTACTCGGCCCTCCTCCTCCTCCTCCTCCTCCTTCTCCTCCTCCTTCTCCTCCTCCTTCTCCTCCTCCTTCTCCTCTACCTCCACTGAGCTGTCAGTCATCCACAATGCCAGAGAAACCATTCAGATCCAGCAGGTGTTCAGCTCAGATGGTGAGACTCGTATGTTGAACATCAACCTCCTGGTCTGTCTGTTGTAGAGGTGAAACCATGGCTATCTTTGAACAGGATCTGGCGTGAAATGCATCGACGTCAGTGGAGAGCTTCACTCCAGAGCTCAAACTGAAGCACAGAGTTCAGCATCTAGGCCCAAGACTGCACTTCACCACAAGGTGGAGACAAACATGGATGAGACAACTTCAAGTTCTTATGGCTTGGCTTATCCGAGCTTTCTAAAAGTTGTACTCTGTGTGTGCGTGTGCAGGTCCACTATAATGATGATGAGTGTGCAGTGTGTAGGGATGGAGGGGAGCTCATTTGTTGTGATGGTTGTCCTCGAGCTTTTCACCTGACCTGCCTGGAACCTCCACTTACATCAATACCAAGGTGACAAAAACAAAAGTTTCACAATTATAAACTGTAATCAGCTTTTAGACAATCTGTTTTTTTATTTTTCACCCAACGATTATAACAAAATGGTCATTTTTATTCTGGTGCATCTCATGTAAAGTCTCATGTAGATCCTCCAGTTTGCTGGTCTTAAAAAACTCCTAATGAACGTCAATCGTTATTGGATTGAAAGCGTAATGTTAGATCCCGTGTTAGATCCTCGTATATATTTTTTATTGTTTTATATTGTTTTTTTTTCATCTTTTTGGCCAATTTAAACATTCTAAATATTGTTAGTGAATAATAGTAACTTATGTCTGTCATCATACATGTTATATTTTTATTGCCAAAGAGTTTTAGTAACACCATAAATTAAATATTGCCCCTCCTGACACCTTTGGAAAGTCTTTGCATAAAATCACACTTGTTCGTTTTAAACCTTGTCAATGTTTCCATTCTTAGCTTGATTTAAAAACAGTATTAAACTCACATTTGCCTTGTATTTTGACAGTGGTTTATGGCAGTGTGAACGGTGCAGTGGAAAGAGAGTGAAAACAGAGGAAGCCCAGCTACCTGTTCAAGTAAGACCCCAAGAGACAAACATTACACCGGGTAGTTAAAGTAAACAATATGTTTTTCATAAAAAATATTTTTTTATGAAATGTAAGTGATATTATGTAAATAGCTGATAAACCATGGAGTATATTTTTAAAGGAACTCTTCAGTGCCCAAAAACACTGTTACATTTACGTGAAAGCTTGAGAATCTTTAGGAATCTTTCTTTTCTGTCATAGTCATTTGTGACCCTGCCTGAGCAAACAATTGGCTCATCCACAAATTTCGAACATGACGCCCCCTTCTGCTCATCACTGACATCGTCATCCCTCACAACTGGCTCAACTACTTTGGAACAACTCGGCTGCAAAAACCAAGTACACAACAGTTCAAACCAATATATTTAACTGACAACGTCATATATGCCTGGTGTATTACATGTGTATTTAATGTTCCAAGTGTTTTGGTGGAGAAGCTGTGGGTGCTGTGAGGGAGTTGTGTGGAGTTTGCCACCTCGCAGGAGGAGAACTGACTTCATGCTTGCAGTGTTCAAAGCACTACCACGTCCACTGCCTTTTCTCCAAGTGAGTCGTCCACTCATTCGTCCTTAGACCTGTCCTTAGACAGTTTTATCACCTCCATATTAAAATTCTATTAGAGTTTCATCCAAAAAGTAACAATGTCATGGTAGTGTCATGTTGGAATGTAAGAGCCTGTATAGGTTTACACACATGCTCTGTGTAATCAGTCTAAGCTGCCATCTGAAAGCCTCTCTTCCTTTTCAATTCTCCTGAGTGTTAGATATTACATATTGATTGCCTGTAACATTATACACAGTACAGCAAAGTCATTTACTCTGTGTGTGTATGTGTGTGTTCTTGTGTGTGTTTGAATAGAGGAAGATCCATCTGCCTGTCCTGCTCCAGATCTTGGAGCAGCTCTGCCGATAAACAGGCCGAGTCCAGTGAGCTGGTAGGTCTGACTCTGTCAAAGTCTGAGTGCATGGCTGCTTATGAGAGGAAAAAAAAAAGAATTTGCCAAATATCAGGAGGCTCACTCTAGAGCCAAGTCTCTTTCAGTAGAAGGTGTGTTTAATCAAGAGTGCAGAAACTGTTTTAAAAATAGAACGTAGAACCCAAAAAGGGAGAACATTTCAGTCATTTTAATGAGTCACAGGTTGTTCTGGTGGTGTTTTCATTGGCAGCAGGTAGTTCCTGCAGTACTTTTCTATTTTGCAACATTTATCAGTGGAAAAAAAGACCCAGGAGGTGGCAGTACAAAAAGCTAAAGCCCTGCTAACTGCAATACTGTAATGATAAGCAGAATTGACTGATCTGATCTGACGTTTAAAGCTGCTTTTGTGTTCTGAAACACTATTTAAGATGAGAAGGTGGTTATAAAGTCTGACTATTTGGAGTTTTTGTTTCAAAAAATGTTCGGTCATCATTATCAGAATTTCTGTCCCATTAAACAAGTGTCAAATGTTTCTGTGTGAATTTCTTATCCGTGTGTTTGTGTCCAGCTGTCCCCGGTGGTCCAGAGCTCACTCAGCCATGATCCCAGCTCCTCGGTCCCTGAGCCCATCCTCCATAAGGATGAACTGGACTCCATCCTGGCAGACGTGAGTGCGGTTCAATTACACGCCAATTCCACACACTCAGACTCAAGATGGCTGCTGGAGGTCACATCACACAGACAGGGTGACGGAGTGAGATGTCACGGTGTGTAGGGTTGTGTTGTGTCGGTGTGGCGTGTGTGCGGCAGATTTGACTCAGCTGTGTCGATTTAATAACAGCATGAAATACCAGGCTGACCAAGTGTTAGAATGACATTATACATACCAGGATATTTGATCAATGACACAAAACATATGAAGGTATCATATGGACTGGGCTTAAGTTTCACCTTTACTCAGTCAAAACTGTTTTGTGACCAGTGTTATGACGAAGCAGAAAATTGCACATCATCTGAATATTGCACAACAATAATTTAGATATATTTTAATATATTTATATATTTTATAAGTGGCGCTTTGGCCCAGAGGCAATGTCTCTGTCATTGGTGTGGAACCCCAGGGTTCACCTCCTGGGCAAGTTCGAATCCCGGTTAGGGCGGTTGGTACCTTCCAGTGGACTCACCACCCGCAGGAAGGTTTGGTACGGTGCAATGTGATTTGGGTGGCGACTGCTGCCCCCGCGACCCGGTAACGGATAAGCGGATGAAAATGGATGGATGGATGGATGGATATATTTTATATAAAAATTGCACGCCTGATCTCAAGCTAAGTAGATGGTGACATTATATTGTTTCTCTTGGTCTGGTGTATCAGTTAGCACAGTCAGGTTACATCACTAAGAGATTACATGAGGCTCAGGAGCCACAGGTTGCAGATCTCCCATGTAACACTTTGCTCTGGACCAATAATTTGAGAGAGATAACTTACAACACTTTCCTTTTACTCTTGCTGTGGTAAAAGCACTGACCAGTCTCTCCTGCTGTGACCCTTTGGTCATTGTTTTATTGAGGAAATTCCAGATTACAATGCCCTTGAATAGAAGAACGGTCCAATCATGGGTGTACTACAGATCAGTATATACTGTATTCACCACAGTGGGCTTTAGTGATTCTCTATTGTGTGTTTTTTCCTGCCTTGATATTCTCAGCAGGGCTCCATTGATGGGATCTTACAGTGGGCTTTTAACAGTCTGTCCCGGCCTCTTCCAGAGTCCCACGGGATTTACCAGTGACAGAGATGAACATGCATGGACACAGAAAACTCCGAAATAATCTGGCATAATTTCCAAACCAACAGAGTATTGTTTGTGTATTTGTACTACATGTAAAGTGGTGTGTTTAAGTAAGGTAATTGCCAGTGTGTTTACAGATTGCAGTAAAGATAAAAAGAAATTACATATTTTCCGGCACTGTGACTCTGTTATCTTCTGTTTCACATTTGGTTTCATGTGAGCTTGACCCTGCTGTACCTCCAGAGACAGCAGGGCTGGGAAGGGTTAGGCATCTAATCTCATATCAAACCACAAACAACAAATGAGCAGGCTCTCATAACAGCAGATACACACACACACACACACACGTACAGTATATTTGTGCAAAAGATACAGAGCATAGTTTCACATGTGCGTTCACAGACACCTCGTCTCACCGTGTTTGTGTGTGGATCTGCAGCAGAATTCACATTCACACGTTACTCCAGATGGTTTCAATACGACGAAGTATGCACACCGAGTAATGCCTCTGTTCAACAGGAATTCCTTGAAGACTATCACTTAGATGAGGAATGTTGTTTTTGTCATGGGATTCAAGAGTTTGAGCGCAACTGCCAGAAGGATGGAGCTCGTCCAGGCAGTGCGCACATTTTTCTCCCCTTGGTATTTGGTTGTCATGGCTGCCACTTTCTACAGTCCCAAAACAGAGGATGGGAAACGAGCTTGTTCCAGTGTGTGTGTGTGTGTGTGTGTGTGTTTATTTATCAGTCAAGTTTCCTAACAGTTCATAAAACATCCTGCATTCTTTAGGGCCCTGCCAGCATTAAAAGCACATCTTTTTTAATCCTGTTGGTGACATAGTTGTCCATTTGGTGCCTCCTTTAATTTGAACATCATATTATAGATTATTACCAACTCTAAACAGGGTTTCTGAAAGCAAGTAGAATCAGATAATGTGTCTTTGGTCCAAACTCAAACAATCTTCCAGATGTTGAGTTCCTGCTCAAAAATCTGCTTACACTGTTCTCTTTGCTGCACATGCTTTAACCATGACTCATGTTTTACTCTCACAATAATGGAGACGTCTTCTGTTTCCAGTTGCATACCGCATGAGAGACCACATGGAAAAACTCATACAATACTCCAAGTGCTTAAAAAAAAGAAAGATCAGCTTCTGGCCACAAGGTGGCAACGCTCCGTGGACGTTAGGAAGACAGAGACTGCAAACAGAGACTACAAACAAAAAGATAAGATAAAGCCTTGCTTGTGTTTGGACAGTCTGTTAGTGGGAATGACCCAAATTCCTCTGGAGCAAAAATGATTTGTTACACAAAGAGTTATACGAGTGGCTGGAAGAAAAGATGTTTATATACAGTGGTTTGAGTTAGTCTCATGTCAGCCATACTCTAGTATCAATTAATTGGCCATTTACAAAAGTCTACAGTATAAATCCTTTATCATTATCTACTTTGTCACTGCAGTATTTGCATCAGTCTTTTTTGTGTGCATTCAGATTTTCTTTCTTTTTTTTGTGTGAAAATTCTGATGTCGGAATGTTAAGGTGTGACATTCACCACCTGTTGGTGAAGATGGTATAAATGCCTCGCTATACATTACTATAGATAGACAATAATGTGGCTAATGATGGCAAAAAATATGACAGATGTGTCACAGCGTTGGGCCTTTTAACCAAACTATTTATAATAATGTTGGTTGTTTAATGTCTTTTACTGTACATTAGATTCAATCTCTGACCTTGACATGACAATCTGCCCAGAGTGGGAACAATGGAATTTGATCTAATATTTAAAAAGTATTTATCTAATCATAATAATATTTATAATTTATTACTCACTCGTCTCACTCGTCCCACCTGAGTTCCTGGTGATTAACACCCTCTGTGTCCCTCGGCCTGTCCTCCTCACCTGTCTGATGAGACTTCTGTCTGGTATGTGTCTCTCTGTTTGCTGGATACTCCTCCCAGCTGTCTTCTGTTTCTGCCTGTGTCTTTGCCGCCTGTGTTTTCTGTTCTTAGTCAACCAGAGCATACTGAGTCCTGAGTTCACTTTCCTGTATAGACTCTGGAGCATCACTGTCTGTTGGAGTACTCCCATCTCAGCTTATTTTACATTTTACTTATATTGTCTGTACCAGTTTCCTATCATCTGTATTCTTCCAACTTTGCCTTATCGAATGATTACCATTAGTATCCCTAAAACAACTGATAAATATCAACACTAGTTGCAAAGGTTACGAGTGTTTGAAAGAGATGTGTTTTTTTTATTTGAATATTTTGTCTGGCACAGACTTGAAATAAATCTCTATGGATGAGCTGTTTATTCTTAGAGCTTAACAGACCACCAGAATTTTCCCAGCATCCTCAGGAACCCGAGCACCAAGCCAGAGGTTAAACCGATGAGAAGGGACAGATAACAGACAGGTTTCTGTCATTTGTTAGCAGTGTTAGCAGCAATTTATTTGATCCTAGCTTATTAAATGTCCAGCCTCAGTCCTGACTCCTTAGACGTCCATGGGAAATGTCGTTTACTCATTCAGTGAGCGAGAATCCAGCAGATAAATGAGTAAAGTCACACACTACTACATCCACTCACAGTTTTGTGGGTCAGTTGTGCAGTTACAAGGTCAAATTCCTCCTACCCTGAGACACATCCTGTTACGTCCATCTTGCTCACATGACTGGAATTCTTAAGAAAGAAATAATAGGTGGAATTCTTTGTACATCCTTTCCCACATTTCAGGCACTGCATAAGTCATAGTTCTTTTTGTTTTTTTCCCAGCTGGAGTACTGATGGTGTGAGTTTCTAAGAAATTTTAAACATGTGTGGACTCCTTACTTTTACTGTGTGCCTTTGTTAACGGCAGGAAATTAGCCTGTGAGAAACAGTAACAGGAATCTTCAACTACTGTGTAACAACCTCTAACTTCCAGCTTATGGTACAAGGGAGAAAAAACTGAATTACCCTTTAATAGTGACAGAGAATGGAAGTTGATCATTTAGTGACAATTGTGAGGAAAGTGAACAGGGCAGAACTGTGCTGCTGTATTTAACTCTGGTCATTAGGGGGCACCATTAGGGATAGATATTGTTGATAATGTTAAGTGATGTGAATAGTTGAGAAACACTGATCCAGGACATGTCAAAAGTAAATATTGAATTGTCAAAACAGCTGAGTTCCTTTTGGTGTTGACTGATGAAAGGCTCCTTTGGATTGGTTAGTGATGTAATACACACATGTCAATCAGATATGGTTCACAAAGGACTTGGTTCTCTGAATCTAATTTTGGAGTCACTTCCTCACAGACGAACACATTCAGGAAGCAAAAACACTGTTAGAAATGTGGCTAAAGTGAAACTGGTGTGACGTCTTTATGTTCTACGGATTATCATCAGTATCCATTATTATTGGACGACAATGATTGTAGTGATGTCTTGTGTAAATATGTCTTGCTGGTACTCAGTATCTACATACCATGAAAATCGTTATAACTCAGAGCTGAATGTTTGGCTTGTGGAGAGTAGTTACTGTTAAATAATGAACGGCCATAACTACACTAAGAGTCTAGGTTTATACAAATGTATGTTGTACATTTTTATTTATACAGATGGTCCAGTTCTGACATTCTTCTAATCTGAGGAGGCCGATAAAGTCTGAGTTCATATTTGTGTTTCTAATCTCAACCAGAAAGATCAGGACATACTGTCAGCTGGGAGGGCAAAACACACGCACACACACACTCATGCAACCGCACACACACACACATACAGATAGTGGTGTTTTCATTGAAGCCGTTTGCATAAACGTCTGAGTTATGACATAATGTGTAAACAGTGTTAAACGTCTGAGTTATGACATAATGTGTCTGTCAGAAACAGTCATTTTGAGCTCTAAAGTCAATCCAACAGTAATTTTAATTAAACAAGGCCACAGCTTCTCAGGGTTTTCTAATTAGTCTGGACATCTCGCCTAATTTTAAAGTCAAGTCCCAGTCTGTGGTTGTCCCTCTTGCTGTGTTTTAAAGTAATACAGCCTCTGAACAAATATCTAAATGCCTGGTCAGGGAGTTGAAAAATGTCCTACTCTTGCTGTGACTCTGTGTCCCCTGAAGAGGCCAGATAATGATATGCTGGCAGGGCAGATTGCAGGGTTGCCATCCATCTGAAACTGTAAACACAGCACAGAAGTCTCATTAGGACATTCCAGAAAAGTCCTCAACTGGGAATTCTTGGAAGAGCTGTTTGCATTCTTGCTTTGGGACGGCAGTGCTAACAGCGTCTCCTGTGATCGCTGTCCTTTCCTGAGCCAGAATTATATGAGGAGGGGTCAGGATGGCCCCGCAGATGTTGAGAATTCTTCTGTGAGCTCACATCTGTGCACATTTGCGGAGGAATGCTAATCATTTCAGTAGCCGTCGTATGACAGTTTGAACTGTGCTGTTTGTTCAAATGGGTTAAAAGAAAAAACATGGCTAGTCTTTCAAAACATGGCTAGTCTTTCAAGTTTATTTATGTTTGTATGGACATCACCAGTGCTAAGTAATGTGGTACTCCTCAAGTACTCTAAAACCACTCCATGGTTTATATGACAGGCAAATACAATAGATTGCAAGTGAAAAATTTAAAGTAAAATGGAATACCAAAATGGAAAGGTAGCACTGTGCAAATGTTTTAGGCTACTGCTAGCTTTTAAATGTACGTCGATACAGATTTGAATATAACCAATAAAATGGACAGGATCTGTTGTGTATGAAATATGTAATTATTTTTATACAGTTGCTTAATCAAACAGCTGGTACTTTGTTGCTTCATCAAGTTTTTTAAGTGATTGAAATACGTTTATCTAAGACATTAAGCCTATAATATAATAACTATTTTATAGTACATCAGTTTAAAAACATTTAAAATCAGAAAATTAAACCATAATAGAGGTTAACAGTTAATTATGTTACAGCTGGCACTGTTCTTGGATAAAGCATTACTTTAATTGCTTTAGAAAAAAGTCTTGCACTTTTATTTATTTGTGATAAGAAAACCAAATACCAAAAATGTAAACAGATATTCTTTGGTTTTCGTTTAGAATAATCACTTTATCTTGATAAAATATAATAAAATAAAATACTTATCAGTCACTTAAAATGAATTCTTACCACGTCAGGACCCAGTTTGGGTCAACATGTTCCAGTGTGATGTATGTTTGGTGCAGTTATTACGCAGATCAGTGACAGACATTGAGGATAGGCTGATAACACTCAGATATATAACAATTCTTTCCCATCAGAGATTCTGTGCACGGCGGCAAACACAGATCATTCACTGCCAGCTTTATTTATCTGGGTCAATGCACAATGTGTCTTTTTGTAAACTGTATGATGTGATTTGAACCCAAAGAATTCCAATAATACCCTCCCTCCACCCCTCCGCACGCTCCTCTCCCTCCATTTTCTATAACTGTCTGTTTGAATTAATCAGGGAATAGAATAAATAGTCCCGCCGCCTTAAAATAGACTGTCTGTGTAAAATCAGACAATGACCTTCTTTGACATAACACACTGTTGTCTTTGTTTGTCAGTGCAGGCCTCGAGACACAACCATTAACATGTCTTACGGCTGAATCATCATGACTTACTGGTAGTAACACCAAAGCTGTAAGTCAGCCTAAAGAAAGTGGAGTTTTTTTCAGTTGACGTTCCACAAACTGTTTCATTTTTACAATGAATGCGCCGCAAGCTAACCGGGGGAAAAAATAAGCCGCCAGACGTGGCACAAAAAAATCCCTTGTGCATCTCATATATATATTTGGAGCAGCATAAAAATAATTACTGATGTTTAAAAGTAGTGCCGCTTGAACAAACAGTTCTAATCTTTCAAATGGGAATTTAAGGCAACATGCCAAAACAAAATGTCTGCTAGACTATTTACATACAGT